TGCAGTACAAACTGTTTTAATTTGTTTAAAAATGTAATCCCTATTTAATTTTCTGCTTTATTGTATCTATAAATTATTAGAGTTAAAAAAATAATAAGAAGTCTCTTTTAAATAGTAAAATTCTATAATCTACTAATGTTAATATATATAGTTAATTAACATTCAGGGTGGCCGCAAGATTGACTTTATCAATTTTCCCTGACAATTCCCTGACATTTTACTGACATAACAACGAATTTCCTTGACAAAAATTTTTTTGTTTAGAGCAAAAAATGTATTGCATGACCGCCTTAATTTCTTTAATTGCCCTGACAAAAAAATTTTTCCTGACATTTCCCTGACTTTACTGACAAAAAATTTTTTTTCCTGACATTTCCCTTCTTCTTTAATTGCCCTGACAAAAAAATTTTTCCTGACATTTCCCTGACTTTACTGACAAAATTTTTTTTTCCTGACATTTCCCTATGACTTTACTGACAAAATATTTTTTTCCCTGACATTTCCCTGACTTTACTGACATATGTGGCTACCCGACATTGATATAAATATGAAAATAATATAGTTAATAGCAATTAATCAAATAGTTAATAATGACCAATTATTAGTTACATTTACTTTTAGGTTATGTTAAAACAACTAAAATTTTTGTAACTATAATTTAATTTATGTCAAATTTCACTATTTTAGCAGTTATTTTTTTTGTTATAATTAGTTTTCTTCTACTTATCATAAATAACTTTTTTTATGAATTGCTGAAATAAAACGTCAGCCAACATTAATTGACTAACAATTATATAGTTATTATTCTTATACTAATTCAGATTTCGAACGAATTAATCTCAATTATATCATCTTCTATCTCTATAGTGTGACAAACGAATAATATATATTTAAAACATCGACGAATGTTAGCTAAATTTTACTAATCAATTAGCGAAACAAAATTTTTGTCACTAAATATAAGTTTAAAAAATAAAAGTTAGATGAATTCATAATTATAAGTTTAAAAAAAAATTGCAGAGTATTTCAAAGTTAATAATAATTACTAATTAATAATTTGGTAACAATAAGATATACATTTACTGATTTAAGTTAAATATTTCTACTGATTAATTGGTTAATATGAACTAATAAGAGTTAGATTAATTTTTCACATAACCTAAAAATTAATCTTCTAATGAAGTTGTAGTCAAATTTAACTATACTTCTTTCGTTGTTTTTCTACTGAATATTAGCTGCTTTACAAATATTAAGTCGTTTTTAATAATAATTACTTGTTTTACTAAAATAATTAGTTGGTTTTGCGAATAATTATAATTTTATTAATAATCAGTCATTTGACAAATAATCAGTTACTTTTACCAATAATAATCTATTTTATACTAATTACCGAAACAAAAACAATCGAGATTTAACTAATAATTCATCAATTTTAACTATTTCGGATTTAGAGAGTATATAAATAATTGTCGGTTATTGTTGTGAGAAAAAAAATCTATAAATCAAATACAATGCGAAAAATATATTAAAAATCGTTTATCTCCCTATAGAGATTTTTTCCTTCAAAAAATATGTGCATGCAAAAAAAATGTCTAATATGCTTCTTATCTATATCTCAAAATATGGAGTCATTCAGAGCTTCCTGTTGCACATTAAAATAATGCGACGTTGTCAAAAATCCAGAATCACACGAAACGTGTTGTAAGACACAAAATTGAAATTCAATATTTACTAAATATACATGACGAAATTCATAATATAACCACTAAATATTTAATGTACAAAATATACACTAACGGAATATAGAAAAATTTAAATATTTATCGTATGTAAAATAAGTTTACCAACAGTCGCATTATTTCCAATGTGTAAAATAATGGATGGAAAAAATGTGGCAACACCGCGCGCACTAAGGAAATGTATATGTATATATCGGTTCTTCAACTATGGGCAGATAAGGCCGTAATTTTCTACAGAAGTGTCTGATATACTGCATATATATGTATGTATGTATACTTTTTATGGCAAATTGGTTTAAATCGATAAATTTTTTACGATTATTTTTAAACCGTATAGTTTCATATATCATAATTATATTGTAAAAAAAAATTTAATTTTTCTTTTCAAATAATTGAATATGGGAAAAAACGTGAGTCGAGTTCATGTTTATATATAATAATGGAAAATGGAGCCAAATCGATAGAATATAATTTGACGACCTTACGTACAAATACTTTTTAGAAATTTACCTTTGAAAAATGTTTTCTATACTTATTTTTATGAAAATGCGCATTTGTAAATTTTGTATTTGTATCATTTTACGATATAATAAAAGATTTATATTCGAACAAAATGGAAATCAATTTTTCGTGAAATGTTTAAATATTTAAATAAATGTTTATTTAATAATAATTAAATAAATTTATAATAAAATACGATTTATTTAATTACTTTATCATTTACTTGATTGTTATCAAATAAATATTTACTTGAACGAAATAATTATAATTATTAACTATTTGTATTACTAATTATTTAATTAATTACTCATTATTATATTATTATTATTATTGAAATATATTTTGAATTTATGAAAGTATATTTGAATTTAGAATTTGTGAATTTGGAACAAATAAAATTTAATTGACGCAAGAAATAAATTTTATTTGTTACAAATAAATATTTATTTAAATCCTTCAAAAATGAAATAAATTAAAAATATATTAAATATTATTTTCAAATTATTTTATAATAAAAGTAATAAGAAGACTTTTTTTAAAATTAAAAACACCGCTTTAAATAAATAATTTTTTTATTCTAAATAAAAAATAAAAGAAAAATAATTAAATAAATTTTTTATTTATTTTTCTTATGCTTATTTTTTTCTAAATTAAATTTCCAAATTAAATTTTTCTGAATTATCTTTCAAAAATAAAACAAATTAAAAAGATATATAAAATATTATTTCCATAATTATTTTGGAATTAAAGTTAATAAGAACGCACTTTTTTGAAAATTAAAGACACCGCTTTGAATAAATAAATTATTTTGTTTTATTCTAAATAAATAGAAAATGTATTTCTTACTTTTCTTTTATTTATTCAGAATAAAAAAATAATTTATTTATTCAATGCGGTGTCTTTAATTTTCAAAAAAGTGCGTTCTTATTACATTTTTATTACAAAATAATTCAAAAATAATATTTAATATCCTTTTAATTTGTTTATTTTCAAAGAATAATTCAAAAAAGAAATTTTAATTCTTTCAAAATATTCTAAAACCATATTATTAATATTCAACAACATTTGCGAATAAAAAATTGTAAATTGATTTTCAATTCCTATATACTGCATCAGTATTTCGAGGTTAAATGGAATTCAATTAATTTATTTGCATAATTAATACGATACAGATTAAAATTGGTTAATTTTATATTTCATATTGTCTAGACAATAAGAAATAAAATTAACCAATTTTAATTAAATCGTTTCGACAATCTCTAAACTGTCACGTTCAATTATAAATCGTCCAAAAAAAATGTCGGAAATTGATAAGTAAAAACCTGTCATACATTTTTCTCTATTATTCGATTTCAAAAGAGGGTTATTGCGTGTATTGTTTGTATTTGATTAGCCTATTAAAATAGGGCATAGAATAATGCTTCTATGCCCTATTCTAATAGACTAATCAAATAGTCATTAAGCTATATATATATATATACAGGTATTTGTGTGCCTATACCATTTGTACGAGTAATTGTCATAAATTCATATTTTATTTCCGAAAAGCCATTAATAATAGCCACGACATTTCTTTTCTTAGTTTAACGCTTTAATATACCTTTTAAAGATGATTAACATTGATATTATTACCTTTATCAAATTCCAAAGATCTTAAACGCATTAAAATTTAATTATGAAAATCGTAAAAGTATTGTTGTTAAACACTTTGCAATGGCAAATTGCACTTTTTGTCGCGCATTGCGAATCAAAAGTAAGGTTATCTATATACATCACACTTCTGTAAAACTCGTTATTAAAAAAGTCTTGATTTGTTTTACTCTTTTGATAAAAATCAACAATGTATTAATCTCAAGCAATAAATAATGTTGATAATAATCTTACCACGCCATCCACACCGTGATTGTGAAAATTGAGTGCGTCATTCGCCAGTCGACCAGCCATTTTGTAATCCGCATTGTTTGACTATTTTCGCCTGGACGATTAGTGTATTTGAGAAAACTGACTTTCTTTTATCTAAAAAACGTTTATTAGATTGTTAAAATATAACTATGTATAAGATAAAAACGATAAAACTTTGAACAGTTGTCCAAGGAATTTTACCAGCAGCAACTTCAAGCAACTGTACGCCTAGTGACGAAGTCAAGTACTACTTAAAGCCTCATTCACTCACTGAAACAAGGGATGGGTAGGTGGCGGCTCTTACGTGAAGTCCATACATGAGACGTCGAGTTTTCATTGGTCGACAGTTTTAGCGGTAAATTTCAAACAATCAAAATATCAAAAGCTTTTTTTTTAAAAAATGATGGTAAAATAAATATTTCTAAATACTATTGAAATAAATCGTTAATTCTTAGAGGGCAGTTTCATAGTTTTTTATATGCGGAAGTAAGAATTTCTGGCTTTTTTTTATCTTTTGGGGGGAAAAAAGCATCGATATAAAAATGCCAGTGTGAACACGGCTGAACTATAAGTTTTTTTTACTCTTGCTTACATAGTTATTAACGGTTACTTTCAGACAAGTAATCTGCGTATTTTTCCATTTTAATAAATATTCTCAGTAATTAATAAATAAACTTAGCGTAAGTACTTAGAAAATTAATTATGATTGCATCAGGTGATGTGTAACGTAATTTAGGAAGTTTTACCGATACTAGCGTCACTAGTGACCCTATTTTCCCAACACTGCTCTACCAGCATTTCTGATTGGTTTATATTTCACACGCTAATTAGAAGCTAGTTTCACTCTATTTACTTTGCTCTATGTTTGCAGTCACAGTGGCAGTGTGCAGGAAGCCACAGCTTTTTAGTCATAAAGTGGTTTTTTTTGTGCATTTGTTCATTTTTTGACAATTTTTTGTTTAAAAAATGGGCAGTAAAGAAAATTCCGCATCGGCGACAACGAAAACAACAACTTTAAATACGAAAACATATGGTAAAATATTGTTAACACTCCAAAATTGTCTTTTACCTGAGGAAAAATTAGTATCGACGCCTTCGCATTTGGATGGTCTTGACGCTGAAACAGAAACTGAGCTTCGCATTTTAGGATGTGAACTTATTCAAACTGCTGGAATTTTATTAAAATTGCCACAGGTAATTATTATTTTATAAATTCTTTTCGCTTTTTTTCTTTATATTTTTCCAAAAAAAAAAAAGAAAGAACTCTTTCTCTGTGTGTCTAACCTCAAAATATACCTTTCCTGTTATAATTGTCAATTTTTTCATAAACGAAATACTTTCCAGAAAAAATTTTAAATTTTGTAATTTTCGATTTGCACTCACAATAGGTAATGTAATTTTGAAAATTTTTTAAAAGAAAAATGCTTTTTGATCAAGTCTGATAAATATGATTCTTTCGATTGCATTACGTTTATTGTCAACATAACCTTCAAATGCGTGAAATTTAGGATTTGAGTTTCAGTGCTAAAAAATATAACAGTAAATTATGTTTTGCATTTGAAATTTTAATGTATAGGTTGAGGGTAAAATATTCATTTCATTCACGTGGTGTAAATTATATTTATTCGCTTCTTTACGAGTGTGGATTTTATAAAAGAAAAAAATGGATTTTCTTGTACTTTTATATTAAAGAGAAAATAATGACACTAAAAGTAATTATACATTACTTTTAGTTTCATTATAATTGAAAAAAATATTCGTAACGTATAGAAAATAATTTACTATTTCATTGTTGTATTCATGTTTAATATTACATTATGCAACTTGAAATTTATCTTCAGTCTATGTGTTATATGTACTGTTTTAATTTATATTAATTATAATATTCTCAAGTGAGATAATATTTTTATAAACAAAATTTTTCTATATTTACAATTGTTCTTTTTAATGAGACAAAATGATTTTCGTAAACTAGGTCTGTCAGACCCGAGGAGAGTTGGGATGAAAAACGTTTGCCACTCATTCTGGAACCAAAAAAATGAAACTGGAATATGATGGGTAATTTTTATGATGAGACAGAAAAAAATGCTTTCAGGCAAATTCTTAATTGAATTCCTTAGCCTGGAAAGATTGAAAAATAGAAAAACAATTTTTTCAGTGTCTCAAAAGGTAACGCTGAGAAGCTTTACTGATTTTGAAGTCAAAATCAAGTTTTTTACAGTGATTGAAGTGCTTCTTATGTTTACAAAAATTTGTGTCTGTTTAATAAATAAATATTTTTCAGAGAAAAAAAAAAATTTTTTGCAGGACAAACACTTTATCGAAGGATTGAAATAATAGTTTGATAATGAAAAAATAAGGAATATGTTTATCTCTTTAACCCTTCAGCGGTAAGTAGTTAACATTGTGAAAACTTTCAGAGTTTACATTGAAACTAAATATTTTACATTAAAAGTATGGCTAACTAATAAATAGCTCATTATTTACAAACTACAATTAATTACAAAAATTAAAATTAATTAGAAAAAGAGCAGATTTTGTAATAATTCGATTTTACTTTTAGAAAAATAAGAGATTTTTTAGAAATAAAACAAAATTGGAGAAAGTTTACTGGGTAAATCTAAATATTATAATCTCGTGTTTATTCTGATTTTTATCATCATGACTAATGGCAAATTGAAAAATTTTGTTTAACTCTGGAATTTTTTAGTGTTGTTTATCAGTGATAATTTATTTGTCATTACAAATGTTCGGTGCATAAGATGTTGACTGGTCAAATAATTACTTCAAAAAATGCAACAGTATTTACGGAGTTTTTACATTTACTATCATAATTACCCTTCGGTACAGTTTTCAGAAAAAAGAAATAAAATTACTCTTTTAAAACTACAATTACAAATGATTTAAATTAAGTAAATTGGAAGATTTTTAATTTAAATTTTTGAAATAAACAAATATAGAAACATTATATTCAAATTACTAAAACTCAGACGCTAAAGGGTTAAATTGTAATAATCATGCCTGTTACTCTCTTTCAGTTATTCTTTTTGTTTTTAAAAATTGTAAAATTCAAAATTTAATTCTTTAATAAGTAATGATGTACTTGAAGAAAATTCGAAAATCCACATTTTGTTCAGTGTATGAGAAAATTTCGTTTACAGCTAATTGTGTAATTAATTAACTTAGAACCAAAATCTCAGTGAAATGGAAAAAAAATTATATTCCTAAAGTTCTAAATGTCAAGTTGCTGAAGTTCACAACGTTTATAATCAACAATTTAGAAGAAAAAATATTTTTCTATTTAAATTTGTATATATATTTTTGTATAAAAAAAAACCTTTTTCATAATTGATCAATAATTTGAACTAGAAAAAATTGTAAGCAAAACATTTTATTGTTCTCGTCAAGAAAAATATTTTTTTCCTTTCAATCTTTGATCTTAGATGTGAATTTCAACGACGATGTTCAAATAGACGAAATTTATTTGTTTCCTCTTCAAATTAAAATTTTCGGTCACAAGCAAAAAAAATGTATTATAAAGTCACGAAGAGTTAAATTTGAGTTTTTAATTTTTTATTAGAATCGGTAATTGTTGAAAATATGTTTAATGACAAATATTTCGTTCACTTGAATATTCGAAACTTCTGGATTATAAAAATTGAAAAAGAATTATAATTTCAATTTTTTTTAAATTGTTGAGTGTTTGTATCAAAAGTGTATCATCACTTGATAATTACAGCAAATTTAAAACTAAAAAGTAGACAAGGTAAGTATAGTTACGAATTTTAAGAATTAATGAATTAATATTATAAATTTTAATTTAAATGTTCAAATCATTAAATCGTTTAATCTAAATTTTTAAATGATTAAATAATTGAATCTAAATTTGCAAATAATTTAATCTAAATTCGTAAATGATTGAATAATTTTATCTAAATTTTTAAATGATTAAATTATTTAAATTCAAATATTGTAATATTAATTAATTGATTTATTGAATAATGATTCGACGGAAATCCATCATAAATTGTATAAATCCACACTCGAATTTTCAGTACAGTAAAAATGTTTATTGTTTCATAGGATTCTACAGAAATTATTAAAAAAAAAAACGAAGAAAAGGTTTTGGCAACGTATAACAATCGAGAAAAGAACATAATAGAATACGAAATAAAAAGTGAATTACTATTCGTCTTTTTTTCTTGAAAAAAGAAAAAAAGATGAATTTACTATTTACAAGAGGCGGTTTTTTTTATTTAAAAAAAATGTTTTTTCTTTTGTCTTTCCAGGTCGCAATGGCTACGGGTCAAGTGATATTTCAACGTTTCTACTACAGCAAATCTTTAGTGAGACATAATATGGAAATCACGGCTATGGGATGCGTTTGTCTAGCTAGTAAAATTGAGGAAGCTCCAAGGAGGATAAGAGACGTTATTAACGTATTTAATCACATTAAACAAGTTTCCAGTCAAAAGTACGTATTCAATTCTGTTTAATTCAATCTCATTCAATTCAATTCAATTCAAAGAATAAAATTAGAAAATATTTTCGAAACAATTATTTTTCTTAAAAGAGTATTTTTATTTTACAATTAAAAAAGAATATAATTAGAAAATATTTAAATTTTGAAACAATTATTTTTTTTAAAGGATTATTTTTATTTTACAATTAAAGATATTCGCAAATAAATTTTTAAAAATATGTTTTTGTGTTGTCTAATAATTTTTAGAGTAAATGATAATAATTATTCTTTAGTGTCTGGAAATCAGGGAAAAATTAGGAAAGAAGAAAATCAAACTTTTGTGTCAAACTCGATTAAATAATTTAATTTATTATTTTCAGACCAATTCAACCGGTAATTCTTGACCAAAATTATGTGGGTTTGAAGAATCAAGTCATTAAATCCGAGCGACGTGTTTTAAAGGAACTTGGATTTTGCGTTCACGTGAAGCATCCACACAAAATTATTGTCATGTATCTACAAGTATTGGGCTATGAGAAAAATAAGGGACTAATGCAACAAAGTTGGAATTACATGAATGATTCATTACGTTCGGATGTATTTTTGAGGCATCATCCGGAAACTGTAGCGAGTGCTTGCATTTATTTGGCGGCACGACAACTTCAACTTTCATTGCCATCGTCGCCGGCATGGTTCTCCGTTTTTAAAGTCAAGGAGAAAGATATAAGGGACGTTTGTCGACGTATATTACGCCTTTACGTGCGGCCACGCATTAAACCGGAACAACTTGAGAAGAAAGTCGAGGAATTAAAGCGACAATATGAGGAAGCTCGATCAAAAGCTCGCGGGACTGATGCTGATGGTCACACGCCGAGTCCTCCACTTCCAAAACATCATAATGCTTGGGGTGGTTTCATTAGTCGAAGCGGATCGCACGCAATTCCTGAGAGAACGAAATCTCCAAGGTTTGTGTAAACAAATTTAATTAATTATCTAATTCTTTTTAATTTCAGGCTTCAGATATGATTACTTTTTCAATTGTTTTGAAAAAAGGCAATTTTTTATTTTTTATTTTCAAAAAATGTGATTTTTTTCCTTCCTTTCAAATATTGCAATAAAATAGAAATTTTTTGGTATAAAATACAACTTATTTCGATTTTTAAAGTGTGAAAAATTGAAATGAAAATTTGAAAAAAATTAGTGGAAATTAGTTTTATAAACTTATAGATTCAAATATTTTTAAAAAAATAATTCTTAAGTTTTTCATTACAAATTTTCGAAACTAAGCTCCTAGAAAATTTTATAAATTTGAAGACAAAATAAAATATATCGTTGCATTATTTTTTTGTTTTTAAAAATTGATTTATTGAATAAAAAATTGGTCTGCTGACTTCAAACTCATATTACTTCCAATAATTTCAATAACATAGTTCCAAAAATTCAAATCGCTGCAAAAAATAATTACAATAATATTTTTTAGAATTATTATTCAAATTTGGGAGAAATTAATCATTTTAAAAATTTTTAATTAAAATTCTTCAAATAAATTAAATACTTTTATTAAATTCTCAAAACATTCCTTTAGGAAATTCAATTATTTTAGAAAAATTACATTTTTAAAAACTATTTATTAATTATAAATGTATTCAAATAACTTTTATCATAATTTTCTAAAATTCATTTATTTTCAAGAAAAGTTCATTAAAAATCTTTAAAAATCTCCTTCTCTAGACTTATCATTAAAATTTTGCATAAATCATGTATTTTCATATTTTGCAAAATAAATTCTCGGTAAACCTTATTTTTTAATGTTTTTAGAAAATTCTTTTATTGGATTTAATTATTTTCCAAAAATTTTATTAAATTTCCATATTATTTTGAAAATTTGTGAATTATATTTTATGAAAGAAACTATTAAAAATTATTATAAGTTTTTTATTTAAATCTGATTTTAAGAATTTTTTTATTGTAATTGTTTAAAAATCAATCATTTTCTATATATGTTTGGTTACATAATTTCAATAATTTACATTATTTATCTTTCACTTTATAAAATTTTAAACAGTTACAATAATTATAATTTAATAAAATGATTTTTTGTATTCAAATACTTGTGAGATATCGACGAAATTATGGAAAATGAATAAAAATAATTGAAAATTGATTTGAAGAAAAAATTATATTATAAATTTTAATTATAAATTCTTGAAAATAATTGAATTTTGAAAGAATTATAGTTGTAATTTTTGGAAATAATTGAATTTTGAAAGAATTGTAATTCTAAAGTTTTGGAAATAATTGAATTTTGAAAGAATTAGAATTGTAATTTTTTGAAAGAATTGTAATTCTAATTTTTGTAAATAATTGAATTTTGTATGAATTCTAATTGTAATTTTTTTAAATAATTGAATTTTTAAACAATTGCAATTCTAATTTTGGGAAATAATCGAATTTTAAAAGAATTGTTATTCTAATGTTTGGAAATAATTGAATTTTTGAAGAATTGAAATTATAATTATTTGAAATAATTTTATTTTAAAATGAGAATTGCAATTATAATTTTTGGAAATAATTGAATTTTAATAGAATTGGAATTGTAATTTTTTGAAATAATTGAATTTTAATAGAATTGAAAATGTAATTTTTTGAAATAATTAAATTTTGAAAGAATTGGAATTTAATTTTTGGAAATAATTGAATTTGGGAAGAGCGCAATTAAAATTAAAAAATTTATTTTTATGTAGAGGAATTAATTAGTAATAAGCCTTTTTTTGACCTTAAAGTCGATCCGCAGGCCTGTAATTTCAATTCAACTTTTATTTTTTACTTGAACAAATAATTCCTTTTAGATAAAAATAATTATTTTATTACTCGGTCGTTTTTAATAACAAAAAAATAAAGATCACTCCAAATCAAGAAGTGATCGTTATCTCCATCTTTTTAAATTGAAAATTGAGAACATACATATATTAAATTATGAATTAATTAATCGATCTTTTTGTTAAAATTATTTTTTTTTTCAAACATTAATAACAAGAAGTAATTAATTTTTTTTTAATTTTGAAAATTCGTTAAATCTTTCACCAATTTCGACAATTTTGTTAAATTTTGTTATTATTTCTAATTAAAAAAAGAAAAAATTGAAAAATATGTAAAGTTTATGTAAAATTTTTCCAAAAATTCGTTAAATCCTTCACCAATTTTCACAATTTCGTTAAATTTTTTTATTATTTCTAATTAAAAAAAGAAAAAATTGTAAAATACATAAAGATTAGAATTTTGTCGTTATTCCGAAAAGTGAAAACTGATTGAAATTTATGTTTCTTTTCCAGGAGATCGAAATCCACTAGTCCTTCACCAGTGCGCGACGTTGTGAAGCATTCGAAACGAAAGAAGCACAGCAGAAGTAGATCTCGAAGTCACAGTCGTTCGCATAAACCGAAAAAATCACAACGACGACGATCGAGTAGTCATAAATCGCGAAACAGATACAGATCACGAAGTAGATCCAGGGATCGTGATTTTGAAAAATCAAGTAAACATCGCAGTAAACATAGACGACATTAACCCTTAAGTCAACAAATTCTTAGGTACATGTAAATGTTTATTTAAAAACAAAAAGAAGCATAAAACTGATTTTTTATTTCTTGCATTTCCGAAACTGATCAACATCGACTTTCAAACAAATTAAATTGGAAATGTATATTTTTATATTACCAACACGAACGAAAAATTATTATCATTTATCAGGAATAAAATTACATTTTATGTAATTCTACACGATTTTTCAATTAATTTTGAAACTACAAAGACATTGTTTAGTTTTAATATCCAAAAAATAACAATAGATTTTTTTTATTGTAATACCAAATGTAAATAATATCGAGATGATTGACAGTTTCTTGAAAAAAAAAAATGACGTGCTGAGATAAAACATGTTTACACGCCTGTTGTGTGTGTATATATAATAAACTATTCACTTCTGTACAAAATTGAAAATATTTTTACAAAAACTAAATAAAAAGGAAAAAATGTGAGTGTAAAAAAGAAAAAAAAATTGTCTAATCAATCAGAAGAGTTGATCGTTTTAAAGAATCCTGTAGGTAATGCTTTTTTTCTTTCTAACGTAATTATTGGTGAAAAATCTAAATTCATTAATTTCGGTAGAATAATGACAATATACGATCTATAGTTTGATAATAATTCAATTGGATTTCCGTGTAGAGTTAATGTACGAAGTTTCGTTAATTTTCGTAATTTCAATACATTGTTCATGTTTGAAATTTTGTTACCATGTAAATAAAGGATTTTTAAATTTGAAAATTCGCCAAATTCTTCACCAATTTCCAAAATTTCGTTAAATGAAAGATCCAGCCAACTCAGCATTCTTGGATTATCGAGGGTATTGTTGATAAAACTCGTGAGATTTAATGTTGACGTTAATGAATTGTGACTAATCCAAAGGGAATTTGTCTGATAGCGATTTTCGGCAGTACGTTTTGGTGTTCTTCCGGTTCTTGTTGTTTGTAAATTCTTATTTGACAGGTCTCTTAGAATAAACTTATTTTAAAATCATTATTTAACTGATAAATAAAATAAACTAATATAAATAATTAAAAGATTTTTATTTTAAATTTACTAAATTTATAAATGAAAAATTTCAGAAGAAAATGTTTCGTTTCAGAAAAATGAATAAAAATATTCAGATTATTCAATATTTTTTCTAGAAATTTAAATTTTGAGAAAAGACATACCATCGAATGAAATAGCTTTCATGAAAGAATAATCTAAAGGAGGACTTATTATTTCTTTGTCTGTGCCGGTCCACCAATAAGTAGAATTTGCTGCTTGTTTTTTATCCATTACGAAAATTTCCTTTTTGGTTTTAACAAAATGTGAATAAATATTAAGAAACGTAAAATTGATTTTATTATTTTTGTGTCATCAGACGCGGTAAAATTGATATATTAAAACAAAAGACTGCTAAAACTTCAAAAGCTAATCTGATAATGTTTAAAGAAAAAAATTATTCTCAAAAAGTTTCATAACATTTTTAAACACGATTCAAAAAATTTTAATTAAAATTCTTTGCAAAATATTCAATTATTATCATAAATAATAAATTTTTCACGCTAGAATTGAATTATTTAAAATACAATTTTCAAGAAATTTTTATTAAGAAATCAATTATTTATTTTATTTTTCATTCAAATACTTTAATGAAATTCTTCAAAAGTAAGTAATTACTTTTAATACAATTTTAATTAGAATATTCGAAATAATTTAATTATTTCCAAAAATTTTAATAAAAATTCTTCGTAAAAATTCAATTATTTTTCCTACAAATAATAAAATTTTTCATAGCAATTCAATTATTTTCCTAAATAATAACATTTTTTAAAGAATTCAATGATTTTGAATAAATTGATTCAATAATTTTAATGCAATTTTTCGCTGAAATTCAATTATTTTCAAAAAATTTAATCAAATTCTATAGATTATTTTTAATTATTTTCAATAAAATTTTAATTAAATTTGTCCATGAAATTAGTACCTAAGAATTCAATTGTCCTCACAAGTTAAAATTCTTTGTCGAAATTCAATTATTTTCCTAAATAATAAAATACTTTAGATAAATATTAAATTATTTTCAATATAATTTTAATAAAATTCTTCTAAGAAATTAAATTATTTGGAATATAATTTTATCAAAATTCTTGGTAGATATTCAATTACTTTCGAAAAATTTAATCAAATTCTATATAAAAATTGAATTATTTTCAATAAAATTTTAATTAAATTCGTCCGTAAAATTAATACCTAAGAATTCAATTAATCTCATAAATTAAAATTCTTCGCGTAAAATTCAATTATTTTCATAAATAATAAACTAGTTTAGATAAATTCAATTATTTTGAATATAATTTTAATAAATTTCTTCTCAAAAATCCAATTATTTAAAATACAATTTTCATAACATTTTTCGATTAAAATCAATTATTAAAAAAAATTTGATAAAATCCGTTGCAAGAATTTATTACTTTCATAAATAATAAAATTATTCACAGGATTTCAATTTTTTTTAATAAAAATTTTTAATAAATTCTTAGAAAAATGCAATTTTAATTATAAAATTTTGAAAAAAATTAGATTTTAAAAGAATTGGTATTATTTTCATAAATAATAAAAATTATCGCAAAATTTAAATTATTTTTAATACAATTTAAAATGAATTCCTCCAAAAAATGCAATTATTAAAAGTTTCAATTAAAATGCTTCGAAAGAATTCAATTATTTTAAGAAATTTTCATAAAATTCTTCATAATATAATTACAATAAAACTCTATGCGGGAATTTAATTTTTTGTCATAAATAATAAAATACTTTAGATAAATTCAATTATTTTTAACATAATTTTAATAAAATTCTTCTCAGAAATTCAATTATTTAAAATACAATTTTCATAAAATTTTCTCAAATAAAATTAATTATTTCAAAAGATTTTCATAAAATTCTTCGCAAGAATTCAATTATTTTTGTAAATTATAGAATGATTCGTAGGATTTCAATTATTTTTAATACAAAATTTTAAATAAATTCGTAGAAAAATGCAATTTTTATTAAAAATTTTATTAAAATTCTTCGATTATCAATTATTTTAAGTAATTTTGATGCAATTTTTTATAAGAATTCAATTATAAGAAATATTTAATTATTCAATAAATTATTTATTTTTCTATTTAAATAATTGAATTCTCGTCGAAATTATGAAAAAGTAATAAAAATAATTCATAATTGATTTAGAGAAACAATTAGATTATAAATTTTAATTATAAATTCTTGAAAATAATTGAATTCTGAAGAAATTGGAATTTAAATAATTGAATTTTGAAAGAAATGTAAATCTAATTTTTGGAAACAATTGAATTTTGAAAGAAATTGCTGGTGTAATTATTGAAAGTAATTGAATTTTAAAAGAATTATAGTTGTAATTTTTGAAAGAATTGCAGTTGGAATTTTTTGCAATAATTGAATTTTAAAAGAATTACAATTGTAATTTTTAGAAAAATAGTGTTTTACATAAAAATGATTAAAAATTTTAGTTCCTGTGAAAAAATAAATAAGAAGATACAATTATCTGTATCTCAAAATAATTAAATCATTAAAACGAAAAATCCACTTTGAAATAAAAATATTAAAAAGTCAATTTAATCCGCAACCGATGTTTATTTTGTTTTCGATTAAAAAAACGAATTGATAAATTATCAAATGAATGTCAAATATTTTGTATTTTTTCTTATTTAGTGTTTTGGCGTAAAACTATTACAAACATTATGGAGCATCGTTCATTCATGATAATTAAAAAAATTATGCGTCAAGCATATTATAGCAAAAAAAAAAAAATTGGATTATTTTTTTACAATTAAAAAAACGAAGATGTATACATTGTATACATTTGTCATTAGTTTTGTTTAAAAAAAAAAAAGAAAACCGATGAATATCTAATTTGTCCTTCAAGTAAAAAATGTAACGTGTATCGCATTATAGAAAGAAATTTTTCTCAATTATAAGTGACTCAAATGAGCGATCTCTCATTTTTTTTTCTTTTTTTTAAGATTATTGTTATTTTACAAATAGTAAATATTATCTGTACAAATATAAGGCACTCGAGTGTTACGAAAAATTATCTTTTCATGGCGCATATACATTAAAATCTCAAAAAATAACATTATACTACCTATATAGTATATATTCATATAATATATGTGTAAATATATTATACGTTAATCCTAATAACAGGTAACGATGAATTATCTGAAAATATTTTTCTTTTCTTTTTTTTTTTGCGATACTGAAAAAAATGCGAGGATTCAGAGATGGTCTATATAAATAATGAAAATTATCGACGATTCATTAAGCACGCTAAAAATGCTAAATCCTAATATTTACACAAAGTATCATATCAAAATATAATATGACAATTTTTTTTTATTTATTTCACAATTAAATGAGTTCGTTGTTTTTATTTTAAAGCTATTTAAAAAAAAAAAAAAATATTATACTAAGTCAATCAAACCTCGTCTGATGCAAGTAATTCTTTATCCGTCGGTGGTGATGAGGGACGTTTTTCACTTCTTTCTTCTTCTTTCATTTGCAACGCCATTGCCGACTCCAAAACTCGAATTCGTCCCTCGTGTTTTAGAATTACTGCTTTTAATTTTCTAATTTCCTCGGCGAACTCCTTTATTATTTCCTCCTGAAGAGAAGTTTATTTCAGTTAGAAAAAATGTAATTTTGATAGGCGTGATTATTTTTTTTTCGCAGCGTGTAACGAATACTTACAGATACTTGTCCAATAGGTGCGCTTGAATTACCCGATTGAACTTTAGCTCCTTTACTAAGTAAATTGGCCTTTTTATTAACTTTGAGATCGTTTTTCGAGGCTGTCGGCTGATAGCCGTCCCTAAGGGAAATGAGCACTGGTTCAGCATCCTGACCGCCTTCCCACTCTTCCGCCGATATCGCTGCTGTGTCACCCGGCGTATCAGGATACAAATCTTCTTGAAATAATTCAGACTGCAAATTCAGCGTTAGATTAGAAAATTTAATTAAAAACTCCTTTTTTTATCTTTTAATTACTATTTTGTGTATATTTCACGCTTCGCACTCGATAATTAATTTTTAAAAAGTAGCAAAAAGTAATTTAAGTTTAAGACCGAAAAAGTAGCTATTGAAAAATTGAATTTGACGACAAAAAAACTCTTTTGGACGATTTACAAAAATTTGATTTTGCATTTTATTTTACTGTTTTTTTTCTAATTTTCATAAAAAATATTTACGTTATTTCTTCTGCTGCTAACAACTTCAATTCTCAATTTTTGCAAAATTCAATAATTTTCTAAATTTTTCTAAAATTCTTTGAAAATAATTTTTTTGTTGAAATTTTTAATTAAAATTATCCAAAACCTTAATGATTATTAAGAAAATCATAAATTAACATTTTTTTTAAATAAAAATTTTAATATTATTACAGTTTTACAACAATAAAAATTTTCAAAGATTTCAATTTAAAAATCTTTTAGAATTTAATTATTTCAAAGAATTTATAATATAACGGTTCCAATATTCAATTATTATCTAAAATGTATACTGAAATTCACTTTGGAATCAATTCTTATTAGAAAATGTTACAAGAATTCAATTATTTAAAATTCAATTATTATCAAAAATTCCAATTGCAATTCATTCAAAATTCAATTATTTACAAAAATTACACCTGCAATTCTTTCAAAATTCAATTATTTCAAAAAATTACAACTATAATTCTTTCAAAATTCAATTATTTCAAAAAAATTACAACTGCAATTCTTTCAAAATTCAATTATTTTCAAAAATTACAACTATAATTCTTTCAAAATTCAATTATTTCCAAAAATTAGAATTACAATTATTTTACAATCAATTATTTCCAAAAATTACAACAGCAAATTCTTTCAAAATTCAATTATTTCTAAAAATTACAATTCTAATTCTTTTAAAATTCAATTATTTCCAAAAATTAGAATTATACTTCTTTTAAAATTCCATTATTTCCAAAAATTAGAATTACAATTCTTTTAAAATTCAATTGTTTCCAAAAATTACAACTAAAATTCTTTTAAAATTAAATTACTTCCAATAATTTATTACACCAGCAATTTCTTTCAAAAATTAGAATTCCAATTCTTTCAAAATTCAATTATTTCAAAAAATTACAATTCTAATACTTTCAAAATTCGATTATTTTCAAGAATTTAGAATCTAACTGTTTCTCTAAATCAATTATAAATTATTTTTATTACTTTTTCCTAATTTCGGCGAGAATTCAATTATTTAAAGAGAAAAATAAATAATTGATTGAATAATTAAATATTTCTTAAAATTAAATTTTTATAAAAAATTTTATCAAAATTACTTAAAATAATTGATTTTTGAAGAATTTTAATAAAATTTTTAATAAGAATTGCATTTTTCTACGAATTTCTAACTTTTTCTCTAAATCAATTATCAATTATAAAAATAATAAAAATTAATGTTGTCATAATTTCGTCGAGAATTCAATTATTTAAATATAAAAATAAATAATTTATTGAATAATAAAATATTTCTTAAAATTGAATTTTTATAAAGAATTACATCAAAATTACTTAAAATAATTGATAATCGAAGAAATTTTATAAAATTTTTAAAATTAATAGCATTTTTTTAAGAAGTTATTTAAAATTTGTATTAAAAATAATTGAAATCCTGCGAATAATTTTATTATTTTTATTTATGAAAGTAATTCAATTCTTGCAACGGATTTTATTAATTGAATTCTTAGGTATTAATTTTACGGACGAATTTATTTAAAATTTTATTGAAAATAATTCAATTCTTATATAAAATTTGATTAAATTTTTCGAAAATAATTTAATTTCTGAGACGAATTTTGATAGAATTATATTCCAAATAATTTAATTTTTTCGAAGAATTTTATTAAAATTATATTGAAAATAATTGAATATAATATATCTAAAGTATTTTATTATTTAGGAAAATAATTTAATTCCGACGAAGAATTATAACTTATGAGAATAATTCAATTCTTATATAGAATTTTATTAAATTTTTCGAAAATAATTGAATTTCCGCGAAGAATTGCATTAAAATTTTTGAATCAATTTATTCAAAATCATTGAATTCTTTAAAAATTTTTATTGTTTAGGAAAATAATTGAATTGCTGTGAGAAATTTTATTATTTGTAAAAATAATTGAATTCTTACGAAGAATTTTTATTGAAATTTTTGGAAATAATTCTAATTAAAATTTTATTAAAAATAATTAATTTCTTTTGAAAAATTTCATTAAAATATTTTAAATAATTGATTTCTTAATTTTCGAAAAAATTTCTTGAAAATTGTATTTTAAATAATTAAATTCTAGCGTGAAAAATTTATTTATTTATTTATTTAAAAAACTATCGAAATAGTAGCTAATCGTAAAAAAAATTAGTAAATAGTTAATTTTAGTAGATGAGTGTAAAGCCTGATATATTTCTATTCTATATCGTGATAAATATTCTGTATATTATAATTAGAATTAGAAATCTAATTTTAAAAATTGAAAAATAGAAAATTACCTTTCTTGGAACAGTCATTGAGACAACTTGACAGAATCCCGAATTATTAAGTCGATAAAATCTCGAGATTTCACAACTGTTTACGTCGCATCCGCGTTTTGGCATCATTCCGATTCCCCGTTGAGGATCGGGCGTTTGGAAAGTGTTAATATAATGTACAAATGGTGGTTCGGGCGTTATTTCAAAATAACGAATCACCGAATCGCCTTTACCACAGAGAAACACCAAATTCGTATCGGGATCGTAAAGTGGAAACATAACTCCATTGCTAGTGTCTAATTCTACCATTACTATTGGTTCGGACAACATATCCGGTGCTCGCAGTGAATATTGCCTTTCCGACATTTTACTGAAGCCGGTCGTAAATATTAAACCGCCCCTGTAACAAGAAAGACAAGTTTAAAAAATTATCTACTTCTTCCATCTTTTCTTTTAAAAAATAAAAATGATAAAATAAAAATACTAAATTAAAAATAATAAATGAATTCAAAAATTGAAGTTAACGATCACTCCGAGTCAAAGACTCGGAGCGATCGTTAACTTCAATTTTTCAATTCATTTGACTGAGTGATATCATTATTAATATATATTTTCTTTTTTTTTAATTGTAAATAAATGTTTACCTGAGAAATATTGCACGTGTCGCTTTACTTCCCTCATGCGCGACAGCCTCCTCGAGAATTTTTCCCGATCTTGGATCGAGGAGGCGAATTTTTTTATCCTTACACGTGGTAACGAGTCGTGAGCCATCCCAATTCCAACACGCGGAATAAACAACATCCGGATGACAATCTATTCGCACTAGTGACTCGCCAGTGCCCACGTTCCAAATGATAACTAAATTATCTGAGCCCGCTGTGAGCAATATATTCAGGGCTGTTGGATGCCATAAAACTAGACCCACCCTCCTCTGATGAAGTTGAAGATCGACCACCGATTCCGTGAGAGTTCTCGATATTCCTCCATCGGGAATCTGCCAAACTTTCACTACACAGTCTTCAGAGCCTGACGCTATCACATTGTCATTGTGCGGGCACCACGCAATATCCAAAACAGGTCCCTTGTGCCCTCCAACTAGTGGATGATCTGCCGATATCCTACCGACCTGCAAATTTACAAAATTTGAAAATTATTACGAAAAAATATTATCTTAATTCTATTCTCATTCTATTCTAATTCAATTTTACTCTAATTTCATTCTATTCTCATTCAGGGTGGTCACAAGTTTCAGTTTATCAATTTTCCTGACATTTCCCTGACAATTTACTGACATTAAAATTACTTTCCCTGACAAAATTCTTTTTAAAGGAAAATATGAATGTTTAAGGAAAATAAGTAAAATTTAAATCAATTAATTTAAATAATTTTCTAAAAGTTCTTCAAGAATTAAATTATTTAAATACAAAAATTAAATTTTTTATAATAATTGTAATTTTATAAATATAATAGTTTTTCAATTTTGAATAATTTCCAAACAATTAAAATTAGGTTAAATCTTTTGAAAATAATTGAATTTTTGAAAAATATAATTAAAAATGATCAAATTTTTGAAGAATTTTAATTATAAACAGGACCATGATTTCTCAAAAATTTTAATAACTCTAAAAAGTAAATTTTCATAAATTTTTATTTACATTTTTCGAAGATAATTGAATTCTCATAGAGAATTTTATCAACAAATTTTTAAATAATTGAATTCTTGCGACGAATTCCAATAACATTTTTAAGAATAATTAAATTTTTCGAGAAATTCGATTAAAATTGTATTAAAAATAATTGAAATTCTGTGTTGAGTTCTATTAATTATGAAAGTAACTAAATTCCTAAAAAATTATTGAATCTCTATGAAAATTTTTTATTATTTATGAAAATAATGGAATTATTGTGAAGAAATCTATAAAAAATTTGCTAATAATTGAATTTCTGTCAAATTTTTAACTATTTATGAAAATAATTAAATGTAGAATTATATTAACACATTTTTTTAAATAATTGAATTCTTTTGGAGAATTTTATTAAAATAGAAAATATAAACAGTCACTGATTTATTTTTCTACAAGAATTAAAATTTTTAAATAATTTAAATATAAAATTTGTTGAAATTTAACTACATTTCTAAAAATTACAATTGTAATTCTTTTAAATTCAATTATTAACCAAAATTAGAATTACAATTCTTTTGAAATTCAATTATTTCAAAAAATTACAAATGCAATTCTTTCAAAATTCAATTAATTCAAAAAATTTAAATTACAATTCCTTCAAAATTAAATTATTTCCAAATTTACAACTCCAATTTCTTCAAAATTCAATTATTTTCAAAAATGACAACTGTAATTCTTTAAAAATTCAATTATTTCCAAAAATTGCAGTTCCAATTCTTTCAAAATTCAATTACTTGAAAAATAAGAATTCCAATTCTTTTAAAATTAAATTCTTTACAAAAATTACAACTATAATTCTTTACAAATTCAATTATTTCAAGAATTTATGATTAAAATTTATATCCTAACTTTTTCTCTAAATCAATTATCAATTATTTTTATTAATTTTGTCATAATCTCGCATAGAATTCAATTATTTAAACATTAAAATAAAAAATGTATTGAATAATTAAATATTTCTTCAAATTGATTTTTTATAAAAAATTTTATCAAAATTACTTAAAATAATTGATTTTCGAAGAATTTTATGAAAATCTTTTTAAACAATTAATTTTATTCAAAAAATGTTATGAAAATTGTATTTGTAATAATAAAATTCCTGTGAAAATTTTATCATTTTAAAAAATTATTAAATTTTTGTGAAGAATTTTATTAAAATTATGTTAAAAATAATTGAAATCATCCAAAATATTTTATTATTTATGAAAATACTTGAATTATTGCGAAGAAATTTATTAAAAAAATGTGCAAATAATTGAATTTGTGTGAAATTGAATAATTGAATTCTTTTGGAGAATTTTATTAAAATAGTAGTTATTGAAAATCATTAAATTAAGGAAAATTTATGAAAATAATTGAATTTTCGAGAAGAATTTTACTATTTATGAATATAATTTGAAATTTTAACTAGAATTTTTTTTTAATTTTTGAACAGAATTGAATTTTTGCGAAGAATTTTAATACTTTTGAAAATAATTGAATTTCTGCAATCATTTGTAACTTGTCCAAAATTTAATTTTTTTAGTGTTTTTAACTAGAATTCTTGTATAAATCTATTATTCGTTAATAATTAATTAAATATTATATATATTAAAAAATTGAACTAATTTCAGAAGCATTTGAATTATTAAAATTTTTCAAAAATCTAAATTCTTTAAAATTTCTAATTAAATTCATCCAGAATTGAAATTTTGTGATAATTTAAATGAAAACCTTCTGAAGTTCATCTACTTATGAAAATTGTAAATGCAACTCTTTTAAAATTTAATTAATTGTGAAATGTTTAAGTAAATTTATTCTTTAAATAATTTCTAAGTATAATAATTTTTTGATAGTTCTTGAAGAATTAAGTTGATTTAAAAATGAAATTATTGTCAGAAATAGAAAAAATTGAAGGTTTTGTATTAAAATTCATGGTAATTTCATAGTTTACAAGACAAACAAAACAGACTTCAAAATTCAGAATTTTCTTATGAATTTTAAAAATCTAATTTTTCCAATAATTTTAATAAAAATCCCTGACTTTTCCCTGAACTCCCTGACCTGTGACAACCCTGAATTCTATTCCAATTCAATTCTAATTTCTGTACTAAAAGACAGAATTTTATCCTTCTAGCAAATATTCTTAGCATTTACCGGTTTTTTTGCGAACATTTCAAAGAGGATAACAATTATATATATTAGCTCGCATTATCAGTTGTATTATCTGTGTCACGACTTTATCAGTAGCTTTCAACAGAGCCTTATAAGGCAATAGACAAAAAGAATAAATATAATTTACAATATAACTTTCCAATTGTGTTATCCAATTGCCAAAAACATTCAATTTTTCCATTTGAAATTTCAATAAAATTTTACCACTTCTCCAAAAATTAGTCATCAAATTAATAAAAAAAAAATACCTTATTATGAGGTAAAACTATGAAAGCACCGCCTCCAGCCGATTCGACGATAATGGCGAGAAATTTGGGATTGACCGCACAAAATGTGGAATCCCAGGAAGACTTGGAAACTCTAATATTGTCATAGCACTGTTCTCGTTTTAAAGCTGTTCCGTACACGTGGCGGAACTTGCTACTGCGAACCACTCGGAAAGACATACCTGGACCTTAAAAAGAGAGAGAGAAAAAAAATAACAATCAAAACTTGTCAATTTTCAATCCTTAACCTAAAATTTTTTTTCAGAGATGAAATCACCAAAAAGCTTATGATTACTAAGTATTATTTCAATAAATTATTGTTACATTCGGTGCCGTGAACGTGGGCGTCGTGTGGATCATCCCCCAATTTATAAATAGATTCCCCACCCTAAATGTTGAAACTGAACGAAGAACACTGAATATATAAAATGAAAATATTTTCGAATCACCGAGAGAGAAGAGAGAGAGAGAGAGAGAAAGATAGATAGGAGAGAGAGAGCTTTCTTGATGCCTTTAATAGAGTTGTGAAACACTGGAAAAAAAGAGGACCTTTCCAAATCTGGAAATCTTTATACATCGATAAATATAAAATTACAATTTTTAACTCGAAATTACTCAATTATTTTTATCCCGATAAATTGATAATTATAAAAATTTGAAAATACGTACGATTTCTCACGTTTGTAACTGGAGCATGTTTTGGCGCGACACCGTTCTCCTAACGCTGTTCTGTTTCGACTAATATCGGAGGCTCTCCCCCCGCCGCGAATACTTTAACGACTGGGCGAAACTGAGAAAAACCATTATTCGGATCACGTAAACCGTGTAATTCATCCGAGGGATCCGAGGGAACAGTCATACGTAAATATGAGTCATATTGAAACCTTCATTGACATTTGTAACCTAGTACATGAATCGCTCATAATCAACTTAATGAACCTAATGAACTTAATGAACCAAGACATTTTATTTAAATAAATAATATCCCAAAAAACTAAATTCATAAACAATTTTCTCTCCTAAATCCATGTTTCTTCTCCCAAAAAAAATGTTTTTATACTGCAATTTCCGAAAATCTTACTGTCCGCTTGTGATTGATCCATTGTGCTCCAAAATAAACTACACTTTCACTGGAAGACCAAAAAAACTGGTTTTTTTTTACATGAATAAATATATAATTAATTAAAATCCAGAAGTATGCATATTGCAAACATGGACATGTAGGGTGTGTTCTATACGCTGCGCGCGCAGATTTCTTAATTTAAAAGCTAAGCGTATTAGAAAAAACAAAATAAGTTAAACGAAAAAAAAGCAATCAATCCATTTTTTAATCATTTTTTTATAAAAAAAATAAACAATCCTTTTCAAATGCGGGAAACAAAAAAAAAAATTGTTACAATCATGCGTGAAAAAGACGAGGCAAAAAATTGATCCAAAAAATTGTTTATTCAGCGAGTTAAACAGTTAATACAATTGTTTTTGTTTATGGTTCGCAAATTTAAATAACGAATAATATTTTAATTTGAAAAGATGTCACGAATATAATTCGCCGGATGTCCGAAAGGAGGCGACTGCCAAGAAAAACCGGAAACCCTCTGAAACACCATATTTGGCAATGCGCACCCTAAACGCGTGCAAGAAGATTATTCTGACCTGTCCTGACTATTATAGTTCTAAATTTCACTTTCTTTTATTATTATTTTATTTACAAAACGCTATTCATATATCCTTCTCTCTCTCTCTCTCTCTTGTTTGTCATCATGCTTTTTATATTAGACATTTTTTTTTTGAGAAAAAAACACACGTTAGAGATTAGCTACTTTTTGGTGTTTTAGTAAAGAGAAAAAAAACTCAAATAATCAGATTGATAAGAAAGTTTTACGCTCTTACGATTAAATGAATCAAGGAAACTGAGGCAATTTTCGGCAAGTGTTTTTTTTTCCAGATGACAGACGACGCACGCTTTTAGAAAAGAGCTCTATCCCCCACCCTAGATTTTATCATCATCGGAACAAAATCCGAAGTATACTTACTTGACTTGCTTGTTGAACTGCCAAAAAACAGAACACACGAGTTTGCGCACGCGGAACTTGTTGATTTTTTTATAAAAAAGAAACTTTTCTCTAATGTAAATTTAATAATTTAATTTTTGTGTTATTTACATTATATTTATAACCTAAAAGTAAGGTTATGATCATTGAAAGACTATAATGATTATATTCGTAATAATAGATATATTACAAACAGTCTTTGAAGTTCATTATTGTTAATTTGTTTAAATGAAATTGTATTAAAATAATTAAAATTTTTTATACACATAATAGAGGTTAATGAAAACAAAAGAAAAAGTTAAAGAACATGTTTTTGTTCTAACGGTTTACGGTTGTGAACACTGTGGAGAATTTGCAAGCAGGGTTGGGCATCTAAAGTAACTTTAAGCTTTTATCACACGTCCTATACTATATGATTTTTGGAAATTTAATTTTTGTGGAATAAAAAAATCTTTCTTCGAATAATCTACTGCTTTCTATTTATTCCATTGTAACTGTATTATACTGAAGATACTATTTTTACAATTCTTTCTCGAGAAATTTGAAGAATTAGAAAAAGAAGAAGCGCTAGCCTCCTGTGGACACACCTTCATAGTTTCCATTTCCGATCTGAAGTTGTTAGTTTCAAAACTTCCCGAAAGGTAGCGCACACAAGTGACATAAAATTCCCACCGATTGTCAAACTATGTAGTAAATTTTAACATTGTTTAGCTGCGATTAAAAGATTACAACAATAAATTTGTTTTTAATTTGTGATGCTATAATCAAATATTTCCAATGTAAAATGTCAATTTGAAACATTGTTCACGTAATTACTTGTGATTATTGAAAAATGCGGTGTAATTATCGTTAAAAGAAAATCAGTTGCGAGCAAAATAGTAACAAGTTGGGATGTTTTAAAAAAAGCTTGTTTCCTAAAATCATGAAGAATTATTATTATTTCCCGATAAGATACACCCATAGTTGATATTCAATATGAAGATAGTGTTTAACTGAGTGGGAAAAAAGTGTGCTATAAGCTAGAGAATGTTGAGATTTTTATCGAGACGTAGAGGCCGAGGCGTCGGTGGGCAAAATACATCTTCACAGATTAAAAATCAACGATTGTTAAGCAATAAGAATATAGTACAATGTAGAGTTGTACTGTTAGATGGAACTGATTTACCTATCGAGTTGTCGGTATGTACATTATTTATTATAATTATTCCCGTCAACAATGCATAGAAAATTATATAGTATGCAATTGTTATATTTCTGTTCTACTTTTTTTTTCTCTCCTCTCTCTGGGCGATTATCATTTATTTCATAATACATTGTTTTACTACAGAATGCAAAATTCCCTTGTTTATTAGATTTTTTTAAATACTTACTATTTTTGCTATTTTTTAAATACTATTTTTGCTATTTTCTAAATACTATTTTTGCTCTTTTCTAAATACTATTTTTATTATTTAAATACTATTTTTGAAATGGTCTTTCTCAATAACATATTGAAAATTAATTTAATATGTTTTAGAAAAAAGCGTTGGCCAGTGATTTGTATGAGCAAGTGTTTTATAGTTTAGATTTAATAGAAAAAGATTATTTTGGCCTACAATATACTGATAGCAACAATATTCAGCATTGGTTGGATCCTACTAAACCTATTAAAAAGCAGGTTAAAAGTAAGTTTAAATTGTTTGTCTTTTGTTTAATACAGGGTTGCCCAAGTTAGGGAAATCTGGGAAAACTCAGGGATTTTTATTAAAAGTACAGGAAAAAATTTAAATTTTAGAATTCATAAGAAAATTCATAATTTTTGTGTCTTTTTTGTTTGCCTCATAAACTATGAAATTACCAAGAATTCTAATGCGAAACCTTCCATTTTTTCTATTTCTGACAATAATTTATTTTTAAATAACTTCATTCTTGAAAAACTATCATAAAATTAAAATTAATTAATACTTAAAAACTGTTTAATGACTAATTTTACTTAAAAAATTTTAATTATATATGAATTGAATTTTAAAAGAGTTGCGTTTACAATTTCCATAAATAGATAAACTCCAAAAGGTTTAAATTTTTAAAATTCAATTTCCTTTATAAAATTTCTATTTTTAATAAATTTAATTAGAAATTTTAAAGAACTTAGATTTTTGAGAAATTTTAATAATTAAAATTCTTCTGAAATTAGTTACATTTTTTAATATATTTTTAAATAATTGTTCAAAATAATGGATTTACAGGTGAATTTTTGTAAAAAACTCTACAAAAATTGAATTTTGGAAATGTTTCAAATTCAAATCTTTAAAAAATCTGAATTTTTCATACCTTTAATTAATAATTCTGTAGAACTAGTATTTATGGAAAAATTTCATTTCATTTCTCTTGATATTAGATGAACTTCTTATTACTTATAATTAATATTATTTTAAAAATTGTAACTCAATTCTTAAAAAGAATTCAATTCTCTTGACAAATATCAAAATTCTACCGAGAATTTAAATTATTTTCAGGAATTTTAATAAAATTCTTGGCATAATTCAATTATTTTCATAAATAACAATATTAATCACAAGAATTCAATTATTTTGAAAAGTAATAAAATTGTTCGCAGAAATTAAATTATTATGAATTTTTTTTTTAAATCTCGTTAAAATTTCAATTATCTCTATAAATAACAATATTCTTTGCCGAAATTCAATTATTTTTAAAAATTTTATTAAAATCTGTATAAAATTTCAATTATTTTCAAAAACCTTTTTCTTAATTCAATGATTTTCGATATCTACTATTTAAAAAAAAATTCCTAAGGAATTTAATTATTTAAAACAAATTTTGATAAAATTCTATGCAAACATTCAATTATTTTCATAAATAATGAAAATTTCACAAGAATTTAATTAATTTCAAATTTTTTAAAATTTTTTCGCAATAATTTAATTATTTTCTAAAATAATAAAATATTTCAGAAGATTTCAATTACTTTGAATAAAATTTTAATAAAATTTTTCACAAAAATTGAATTATTTCTATAAATGATAACATTTTTACGGGAATTCAATTATTTAAAAAACAATTTTCATAAAATTTTTCCAAAAAAATCAATTATTTAAAAAGATTTTCATAAAACTCTTCGCAAGAATTCAATTATTTTTATAAATAACCAAATTTTTGTTAGGAATCCAATTATTTTTATAAATATTAAAATTCTTGTTAGAAATTCAATTATTTTAAAAGATATTAATAAGATTCGTTACAGGAATTCAATTATTTTCAAAAGTAATGACATTTTTCGCTGAAATTCAATTACGTGTAGAAATATAAACAAATTCTCTTCAAAAATTTCAATTACCTTTATAAATAATAAAATTCTTCCCCGGAATTCCATTATTTTCAAAAATTTTAATTATTTTTATACAATTTTTATAGTATTCCTCAAAAAATGTAATAATCTTAAAAATTTTATTAAATTCGTCAAAAGAATTCAATTATTTAAAAATTTGTTGATAGAATTCTTTATAAGAATTGAATTTTAAGAACATTCAATTGTTTAGTAAATTATTTATTTTTCTATTTAAATAATTAAATTCTCGTAGAATTTTCTAATAAAAATTGATTTAAAAAGGAATTTCAGTTAATATTTTAGATTATAATTGAATATTAAAAGCAATATTAATTCGATTAAATAGTTAGTTAGTTATCTTGGACCGTAAATCCTGTAAAGGTCCGTTTTTTTTGAGAAAAGATCCGTAAAGTCCGTAAATTGTACGATATAATTTGGATAATTTTAGAGAAATTACAAATGATTGCAGAAATTCAATTATTTTCAAAAGTAATCAAATTCTTCGCAGAAATTCAATTAAGTTCAAAATTTTTTTTAAATTCTCGTCAAAATTTCAATTATCTTTAGAAATAATTAAATTCTTCTCTGAAATTCAATTATTTTCAATAATTTTAATAAAATTTTTCGCAGACTTTCAATTATTTTTAAAATGTAATTATTCTTAAAAATGTTATTGGAATTCGTCAAAAGAATGAGGATTGAATTGATATGAGGATTCAATTTTAATAAACATTCAATAAATTGTTTTTTTTTGTATTTAAATAATTGAATTCTGGTAGAATTTTCTCATAAAAATTGATTTAAAAATGGATTTCACTTAAAATTTTAGATTATAATTGAATATTAAAAGCATTAGAATGTAAATTTTGAGAAATAATTGAATTTTGAAAAGGTTTCAGATTAAAATCTTTGAAAATTTGAATTTTTCATATTTTTAACTAACAATTCTGTAGAATTAATTTTTTTTGAGAAACTTTAATTGCGGATTTTTTTTATATTATTTGAAGTTTTTATTTTTTAATATATATTTAATTGAAGAATTTACGAATAATCGAAATTTTTCGTAAAATTGAATTGTAAACAAATGAATTTGAAAATTTACAATTAAATAAATTTGTAAAAAAAAATGTAATAGAACATTTTTTTGAGAATTTAGTAGTTTTTAAAGTGAATCAGAATATTCTTTAGGGTCAGGAATAAAGTGAAAATTCTGTCTGGAAATCAGGGAAAAACAAAATAAAATTTTTGTGGCAACCCTGAAATAGTTTGAATATTATTATTCATGCTTAATATATTTTAGTTGGACCTCCTTATACTTTACGATTGAAAGTTAAATTTTATTCATCGGAACCGAACACACTTAGAGAGGAATTAACTCGTTATCAGTTTTTTCTTCAATTAAAACACGATGTTCTGGAAGGAAAACTTCACTGTCCTCATCAAGTTGCTGTACAATTGGCAGCATTAGCTCTTCAGTGTATGATATTTTTCATTTATTATTAACTAAAAAAAACAAAGATGATTATATTTTTCTTATTAAATTATTAATATAGATTTTCTTATTAAATTAGTAATATAGATTTTATTATTAAATTGAAATTAGTATTAAATTGAAAACCTAATCGAATTAAAATTTCTTTATAGCCGAATTAGGTGATTACGATCCAACAATGCACAGTGCAGTGACAGTTTCTGAATTTCGTTTCGTTCCCGGACAAACCGAACAAATGGAACTGGAAATCCTGGAGGAATATGCGAAATACAAAGGACTGAGTCCAGCACAAGCTGAATCGACTTATTTGAGTAAAGCGAAATGGTTGGATATGTACGGTGTCGATATGCATACGGTCTTGGGAAAGGACGCTTGTGAATATTCCCTTGGTTTGACACCAACTGGTATTTTGGTCTTCGAGGGGAATCAAAAAATTGGATTATTCTTTTGGCCGAAAATTGGACGATTGGATTTTAAGAAGAAAAAACTGACTTTGGTTGTAGTTGAAGAGGATGACGAGGGTCGAGGCGAACAGGAACACACATTCGTCTTTCGTTTGGCCAATGAAAAATCCTGTAAACACTTGTGGAAATGTGCCGTTGAACATCATGCGTTCTTTAGACTTCGAGCTCCCGTTAAGGGTGCAAATGGTCGACAAAATTTCTTTCGCATGGGCTCTCGTTTTCGCTACAGTGGAAAAACGGAATTTCAAACAACACAATTGAATCGTGCACGTCGTACTGTGCAATTTGAACGAAGACCGAGTCAACGTTACGCGAGAAGGCAGAGCCATGTTTTGCGCGAGCGTCAGAGACAGCAGGATTCTTCTCCGCCGCAACAACAGCAACAATCGCCACCGCAGCAGCAACAACCACCAGCACAGCAACAACAGACATCTTCAGGTATTTTTTTATTTTTCCTTACTTATTCAGAGAGTTATTCAGAGTTAGGGATATTTTATAAACCTTGAAGAAACCTAGAAAAGTCAGGGAATTTTAATCGGAATCCTGGAAAATTATTGTTTTCTAAAGTTATTGTGTTCATTCTTGAAATTTAATAAAAAACCTTCAAATTTTTCTATTTCTAGCAATAATTTCTTTTCAAATAACTAAAAAAGTTGAATTTTGAAGAAGTTACAAATGATTGTAGAAAATCAATTATTTTCAAAAGTAATAAAATTCTTCTCAGAAATTCAATTATTTTCAAAAATTTGTTTAAAATTCTTAGCAACATTTCAATTATTTAAATAAAATTTTAATAAAATTCTGCGAAAACATTAATTATTTTCATAAATACATAATAAAAATTTCACGGGAATTCAATTATTTAAAATATAATTTTCATAAAATTTGTCAAGAAAATCAATTATTTTGCAAGAATTCAATTAGTTTTATAAATAATGAAATTATTCGCGGGACTTCAATTATTTTTAATACAAATTTTATATAAATTCTTAGAAAAATGCAATGTTTTAAAAAAAATTTATTAAAATTCTTCAAGAATCAATTATTTCAAGTAATTTTGATAAATTTTTTTTATAAAAATCCAATTTTAAGAAATATTTATAATTATTCAATAAATTTTTTATTTTTATATTTAAATAATTGACATCTCGACGAAATTATATTATACAAAATTAATAAAAATACAAAAACAAAAAATACAAAAATACAAAATACAAAACAAAATACAAAATTAATAAAAATAATTAATAATTGATTTAGAGAAAAAAATTAGATTATTGATAAAATTCTATACAAACATTCAATTACTTTCATAAATAATAAAAATTTTCTCGAAACCCAATTATTTACAAATTTTTTTTATAAATTTCTTCGCAATAATTTAATTATTTTCATAAATAATAAAACTCATCGCAGAATTTAAATTATTTTTATAAATGATAAAATTCTCAGCATAAATTGAATTATTTTCATAAATAATAAAATTCTTAGCAAAAATTCAATTATTTTCATTACAATTTTAATAAAATTTTACAAGATTCAATTATTTTTTTAAATTTTGATTAAATTCTTTGAAAAATTCAATTATTTTCAAAAATTTTAATAAAATTGTTGGGAAGAATTTAATTATTTTTAATACAATTTTAACAAAAATTTCGACAATATTGAATTCTTTTAAAACATTTTAATAAAATTCTTCGAAAAATCCAATAATTTAAAAAATGTAATAAAATTCTTGTCAGGAATTTAATTATATTCATAAATAACAAAATTCTTCACAGAAATTCAATTATATTCAGAAATTTGAATAAAATTCTTTGAAAAAATTCAATTATTTTTAAATACAATATAATTCTTCGCAGTAATTCAATTACGTTATAAAATTTTAAAAAATTCTCGTTAAAATTTCAATTATCTTTATAAATAATAAAATTCTTCTCCGAAATTCAATTAATTTCAAAAATTTTAGTAAAATTCTTGGCAAAATTTTAATTATTAACAAAAATGTTTCTCACTTCAAGAATTTTCAATATCTACTATTTTAATAAAATTCTGCAAAAGAATTTAATTATTTTCATAAACAATAAAACTCATCACAGAAATTCAATTATTTTTAATACAATTTTAATCGAATTTCTTGAAAAATTTAACTATTCTTAATAATTTTATTAAAATTCGTCGAAAAAAATCAATTATTTAAAAATTTGTTGATAAAATTCTTTATGAGAATTTAATTTTAAGAAATATTCAATTATTCAATAAATTATTTATTTTTGTATTTAAATAATTGAATTCTCGTAGAATTTTCTAATAAAAATTTATTTAATAATTAATTTCAGTTAAAATTTTAGATAATAATTGAATATTAAAAGCAATATAACATGAATGTTTTGATTATTTTAAAAAATAATTGAATTTTGTAAACTTTTCAAATTCAAATCTTTGGAAAATTTTTCGAAAGAATTCAATTATCTCTATAAATATAAGAATTCTTCACAGAAATTCAATTATTTTCAGAAATTTTTTTAAAATTCTTGTCAATATCCAATTATTTTTAAGAATTTTAATAAAATTGTTTACAAATTTCAATTATTTTTATAAAAATTAAATTTCTTCTAAGGAATTCAATTATTTTCATAAATAATAAAAATTTTTTTACGAATTTTTATTTTATTTGTTGTTAAAATTCTTTATAAGAATTCAATTTAAGAAATATTCCATTATTCAATAATTATTTATTTTTGTGTCTATTGAAATAATTGAATTCTTGTAGAATTATCCAATAAAAATTTATTTAAAATTGAGTTTCAGTAAAAAATTTAGATAATAATTGAATATTAAAAGTATTATAACGTGAGTTTATAGAAATAATTGAATTTTGAAAAGGTTTTAAATTAAAATCTTTGAAAATTTGAAGGAATTTGAGAGATGAGAATGTAAAAAATAGGAAATGAATTATTTCAGGTGGTTCAGAAGAAGAGAGTATTCAACGTCAGTCGAGTAGAAGTAGTACAAAATCTTCAAACTCGAGTATTCAAGGAACATCTTCACCACTAGTTGATTCACTATTAAAGTCATTGGCAAAGGATCAGCAACCTTTGGAACCAAGGAATCAATCAACGATTGCAACAACGCAGAAAGAGACTGAAACAATGAAGACGAATTTAACTATTGAAAATATAAATAATCAACAAACACCAATTGTGCCAAACAATCAGGTTTGTGGTGCCTCTGCGTTGCCGCCCCGCACGCCAATTCCACTCGAGTCACTCAAGTGCAATATACTCAAGGCAAAGTCTTTAGAACTTGGAAAAAATTCCAATTTAGTTTCAATTTCATCCACTGAAACAACGGCCACTCCGGAAAAAATTCAACCCACCGATGCTGCCACTATTGTTGCAGTGGTAAGTTTTCTTTGACTAATTTCTAATTTTTCTCTTCATTTTCATCGTGTTCTTTAATTGTACATTTGTTGTTTTGTTTAAACAATCTTTATTAAATTTTCCCGAGAGATCGAATAGCATTAGCAGGCTTCGTATTCATCTACTAAATCATACTATTAACTATTTTTTTACGATTTGCTACTATCAGAATAATTTTTTCTTTTTTTTACTTTAAGTTCGCTAATAGTTGAAATAAAAAAAATTATTCTCAATAATTTAAATAATTTAAATAAAATTCTTAGAAACAATTCAAAAAATTTTAATAAAATTCTTTGAAACGGTTTCAATTATTGTCAAATTTGTTCACAAGATTCAATTAATATTTTTAATATCAACTATTTTAATGAAATTTATCAAAATAATTCAATAATTTAAAAAATATATTTATAAAATTCTTTGCAAACATTCAATTATTTCCAGAAATAAACAAAATTTTCATATGAATCCTATATTATTTAAAATACAATTATCATAAAACTTTTCAACGAAAAATCAATTATTTAAAAATATATTTATAAAATTCTTCTTAGGAATTAAATTATTTGGGAATATTTTAATAAAATTTGTTGCAAACATTCAATTATTTTCATAACTAAATAAAATTTTCATATGAATCCTATTATTTAAAACACAATTTTCATAAAATTTTTCGAAATAAATCAATTGTTTAAAAAGATTTTTATAAAATTCTTCTCAAGAATTCAATTATTTAAAAAATTTTAATAAAATTTGCAAGAATTCAATTATTTTTCATAAAAAATAAAACTCATCACAGGATTTCAATTATTTTTAATACAATTTTAAATAAATTCCACGAAAAATGCAATTCTTTTAAAATTGTTTATTAAAATTCTTTAAATTATTATATTTAATTTTCTTCTAATATGTTTATTAGAATTTAATAATTATTTTCAATACATGATTAATTAAATTTCTCGAAAGAATTTAATTATATTCAAAAAGTTTAATGAAATTCTTCGTAACAATTCAATTATTTTCAAAAAATTTTCATAAAATTCTTCGTAGAAAGTTAATTAACATCAAAAATTTTTCGAAATTCAATTATTTGTTAATTAATAACAAAATTCTTCTAAGGAATTTAATTATTTAAAAAAAATTTAATAAAATTCTTCGCAAGAATTTAATTATTTTTATAAATAATATAATTCTTTTTAGGAATTAAATTATTTAAATTATCTTTATAAATAATAAAATTCTTCTCCGAAATTCAATTATTTTCCAAAATTTTCCTCACTTCAATGATTTTCGAAATCTCCTTTTTTAATAAAAATTCTCCAAAAGAATTCAATTACTTAAAAAAATTTTACGCAAACATTTAATTATTTTCATAAATACTAAAATTTTTGCAGGAATTCAATTATTTAACTGTCTTAATTTAATTTAAATTATTTTTAATATCATAGAACTTTCTAATAAAAATTGATTTTAAATTGAATTTCAGTTAAAATTTTAGATAATAATTGAATATTAGAAGCGTTATAGTGTGAATTTTTAGAAATAATTAAATTTTAAAAGATTTTTAAATTGAAATGTTTGATAAATGTTCATTGTTGTAAAACTTAAATAATTAAAATTTAATAGTAATTTAAACTTATATTTTGAAATAAAATGATTAAAGTTTTGAAGAATTTTATTTAAAAATTGCAGCAAAATATTGATTAATGTTGTAATTATTAGAAATAGTTCAACTTCAAAAAGGCTTTATATTGAAATTATTATTTAAAATATTTAAATTCCTGTTGAAGAATAAATAGGCATTTAAATATTTATTTTAAAAAAATAATTTTAGTTTTTAATGTAATTTAATTTATAGAAATTATGAAAAAAATTGAGACGTCAAATTTAATTTTTCAATAGCAACTTTTTTACTATTTTTTTAAAATTAATTATAGAGTGCAAAGCCTGCATTAGTGACGGGATCTGAAGAAAGAAAACTTGAAAGCAAAGTGACAGGTTTTTTTTTTATTGAAAATGAAAATAGGCCAAAAGGGTCAGTTACTAATAAAAAGCATTGATTAAATAATTAACGACTAAATTTTCATTATGTTCGAAATACTCTATAGAAACTGATTTCGATTTTACCTAACTAAAAGGAAAGATAAATGTCTCACAAACATATTTTCTACACATCTACAACTCCGAATATAAATTTTAACTTTAACTCGATTTCTCGAATTTTTTCGCCAGTTTGTTTATAACGTAATTTTTGTCTTAGCTTGCTTCTTTTTGAATTGCTAGCTTGCTTTGTTAATTTTTTTGGTGCTTCTCTGCTATGTTTTTTTTCTTTCATGACAACAGGGTGGAGATAAATTGACATTATCAGTGAGTGGAACAGCACCGAGTCCATCGATCGACGATACCGTTACCGTAACACATTTCTCCCTCGATAGTTGGGGTAAAATAGAACAAAAAACAACACCCTATAGTCCAAAAATGTTGAATCAATCGCAAAATCCATTTACAAATAATCCATTTATTAATAATACAAGTATTGAAGTTGCCGATGGTGTTGTTGTTAATGAAGAGATGAATAATTTGGATAATAAAAAAGAGCCAATCGAAGAAGTCAAAGCAAATACTAATCCATTTATAGATTCAAATCCATTTTTGGGACTACTCAATCCATTTAATGATGTTGGTTTCTCGCAAACGCAAAAACCACCGAGCAGTCCCGTTGAACAAACGGCTGAGATTATTCTTGAAAATAATGACGCTGAATTAGGTAACGCGAGAGTTGTTAAAACAGAAGAAATTCAAACAACAACGACAACACTTACGCATAAGGTTAGTAAACAAAAAAAAATAAAATAAAATTGTCGAAGGAGAAAAATACGAATAAAAAATGCTTGCAAGTCGAATATATGCTACTGCATTTTTTTATGACATCATTAGAAAATTCTTAATGTGAAAAACACTAATTGTTTGTGTTGTTTTAATTCTCTTTTCTCGAATTCTGGACGTTTTCAATTTCTTTAAATTTAACTATAAAATACAGTCCTTTTTCTATATAAAAGCAAAAATTATTTATATAATCGAAATAAAAAATACTTTCATATTTTACAAATAAGGAAACTAAAGTTCAGAATTCGAGAAATATTTGTAATAGTCTTTTCTCAACAAAAAAAAAAAAAAAATACGAAACTGATTGATTTTTATTTCACAGGATGAAAATTCAGCACAGGACATTAGTCCCTGGTTAGTTGCGGATCCATCGCAATCGCCAACTTCCCAAAGTCCAACAAAGCACACTGTAATCACAAGGAAAACAGTTATTACAACACAATTGTAAATGGATTACAATTTACTTGTTAGAAACATTTTTGTTGAGTTTCGTATGCGCCTTTTTTTTGCATTTAAACTGATAGTGTACTTAAAAACGAATTTTGCATTTAATTCAAAAGTCTTCAGTTAGATAAATATTCAAGGTAAGAAAATAATTCTTTTAATAGAAAAAATGTTGATAGAAAACATGTGTGTAATCACAGTGATTTTTTTTTTTAATTAACAAAAACAAAAGTCTGTCTTGAGAGAGCATTTTTAGATAACTGATAATTTTTTCCTGAAAGCTCTTGTCTTTTGATAAACAACTTTTTTTACATTTATAATTTATAATGAGAAGAAGAGAAAAAATACGAAAAAACGAAAAGTGTGTAAATTCTGTGATCATGAGATTATAATGGTGGATACTTTATGAGGCAATATGCTCATTTTAAATCTTTTTCAAACTGCTTCAAGACTATCGTACTCTCCACTATAAGACTTAATGCGCGTGCCTTAGAAACATCGACTTATTTTTAAACACAATTCAACAGACTGTCTAAGTCATTCCAAAAAAAGAAAATTATTTAGAATTTTAATTGTTCGAATGTCTCTGCATTTTTATACATACAAAAGAAGAAAGCATTGATTTCAATTAATTGATATTAACAGGAAATCAATTTTTAAGAGAAAAACCCTATTTTTGAATATTTTAAATATTTTAGAAAATTTAAAAGTTAAAAAAGCAAATTAAACATTTTTGTAAAAAATTATTTACTTTTTTTTATTTAATAAATTAAATCTTAATTTATTTTCTAATTAAGTCTTATACTCTTTTAAATTGCTCCATTTTTTCATATATTTTTTTTTGTTTTTGAAACCTTCGAAACATTTGAAAACTTGTGCAGTATTATTATATATGAGTTGAAAATGATCAAACTATCATATTTTATGATAAAATAACCAGTACGAATGAAAATTGAGGAAAAAAACAATGCCATAATATTAACAGTACGTATAAATAAATAAATAAATAAATAAATAAATATACAATCTAATAAATATAAACTTGCAACGATTGTACGTAACGTCTCGTCATATTTGATAGTATTTTAAATACTACAAGAGAGATAAAATTTATACAAAGACAATGCAGATTGAAACGTCATATTATATATTATACTTTAAATATTATGTATAATTCCAAAGCCTAATATATGTTTTACGATAAAAAAAAAAGAAAAGAAGAAGAAGAAAAGTACAAGGTTAAAGTGTACTAAAAATGTTATATATTGGTTACCTAGTTATTTTAATTTTATATATAAATATTTATATATATGACAAAAAAAAAGAGAAGAGAAATCATGTATATTTATTACATAACAATTAGAACGTGAAATCAATAATTATTTCGAATCACCGAAAATGCCTTGTTAATGCCTCGTACTTTAAATTATGTAATCGAAAACGATGCTGCATTATTATTGTACTTGATATAAAATTTCAACGAATTAAGGTCATTTACCTGTCGGATTCTCCACGAATCTTGAATTTAAATAATTATTTTTAAATTTACAAAGTAAATATCAAAGTTAATATCACGTTATTTGTAGTGTATTTACGAAAATTGTTAAACAAATTTTGGTAATTTTCAAATTTTCCAATTTTCATATTTTTGATAGTTAAATTTTTTATAAATTTGTAAATGATAAAAATGTAAAAATTTATAGAATTTTTTTCTTTGTAAATTGAAAAATTATTATATATTAGAAATTTAATGATGGAAGAAAAATTGCGTCGTAAGATGTGCTTTTTTTGTACTTAAGTAAGCTCAATATTTTAGAAGAATGCTTTTCGTGTGTTGTATTATTTGCTTTGTTTTTTTTATACACAATTGACTTTGATTGTCTTTATAATGAAATATTCATAAAATAGCTTTTTATAGAATAATAAAATATACACATCACATATATATAGAGGAAATGAGCTTCCGCTGAAAAATCATGAAGAACGAAATAATTAATAATAATAACAATAATAATAATAGTAATAAAGCTTCTTCTTTATTGTACTTAAAACTGAAAGTTAATAATAGTATTTCTCCGAAGATCTTTCTTTAGAAATTAAGTTTTATTTTTTAAGACGATAACTGCTTGTGTTAATTTTTTTCCCTAAAAATTATATAAATATATAAATATATATGTGTATTCCGTCCTAAAAAAAATCTTATACATATGTACACGAATGTGCAAGTTTGCTTTTTAATAAAAAAAAAATGTTTTATGAAATTAATTCGCATTTGTAAAAAAATTTTTTTCCACAACTTCATTAATTTTTTATTTTTGTTAATATTATTTTTTTTATTATTATTTTTGTTAATATATTTTTTTTATTATTATTTTTGTTAATTTCTAATAAATCAAAAACTCTAGTGTCAAAGTATTTTTATATTTTGAAAAAGAAGAAATCAATTTTAGAACTTCCAAATACTTGGAATTAAGAAAATATTACACAAGGAGTTAAAAATAAAGTCAATTGGACTTTTTCCAACTTTTAAAATTTTTTCTGTGTTCAAACGTCCGGAAAAATATTCGTTATTTAATTTTTTCTTTCTATTGTAAATATATAAATTAAAATAAAAAACTATTTGCAAATAAAATTTTTTGTAATCGAAAATTACAATTTGAATCGAAAACAAATTTTTCAATTTAATAAAAAATAAAACAATAGATATAATTTTATATAAAAAATAAAATTCTATAAAAATGGAAAGTCCTTTCTAAAATAAGAAATAATTTAGCAAAAAATATTATTTGGGCAAAAAAAAAAGAATTTCAATTTTTGAATTTCGCGCCTAGGAAGTGACAGCAGCGCCACGCGCGGCATGGAATTGACACTATTTTTTGCGAAATCGATATTCTACTCAAATATTGACTCGAAGTGTTTCTATGTATTGTGGTGTAGGTGTTCGTTCCGCGTGCGTGTGACAGTACTACGGTGTCGCAAACGAAAACGTCTGCGATGCAGTGGTGAATAAAATAATTTCACTCTTTTTTAACAAGTTGTCAGAGGGAAAAATCATCAACAAAAGGAAATAAAGTGTTAAGCGACGGGACGCTTGTCCATTAAAAACAAAATGTCGTGGCTAACGGGAACAGTGATTTTGTTGTGTCTGACTTTTGGCCTCTCACACGCGATTCTCGAAGAACCTACACCGACCACCATCAAGGATCATGGAGGTGACTTCATTTATTTTCTTGTCCTCATTTTACCTGCGTTTATAAACTTGGTTTCAAAGCTTTTTTTTCACCCCTCAAAAATATTGAAGAATTCCAAGACTTTGGAATTTTTATCAAAATACCTATCTTGTATTTTTTTTGTCAGAAGAATTTAGAAAATATTTCCCTTTTGAACATAGAGATGAAAATATTTTCCATTGTGTTAGTAATTGAATCATCTAACAAGTCCATAAGCACCTGCAGTGCTTGAACAATTATGGCGATTTTTCCACACTACAAGTGATGGAAATTAATTTCTTATTGAGAAAAAGGTTACTTTTTTTTAGATTGTAAACTTTGAGAGAATCTTTGAACCTTTTTTTCTTGAGATATTTCTTACTATGAGACGAATATATACATCGTAATACATGAAAGGGAAATAGAATATATTGATTTTGGAACAGCGTAATATTTTGAATCATTTTCAAATACATAATTAATACAAAATTTCTTTTTTTCTAGTCTACTATTTTCGATATTTTATTTTAAAAAATATTTTTGATTTATATATAAAATGATATAAAAGTTCATAAACGATTCTTTTTTTTAAATAAATAAATATTTACTAAAACTAAATTTATGAGTATAATACTAATAAAAATAATAATTTATAATTGTTCACACTTTGTAGTTGTAGAAGAAACTAGAAGTGATTTTATTTAATATATACAAAAGTGAAAGGGTAAACATGCACTGCTTTAGAATTCTAGATGAAAAAATTATATCGTTGAGCTATGATTAAAATACATTATCCCGGCTAAGGACATTAAAAAAATGCATTGCTTTGGATTATTAAAAAAAATATATGTCCCGTGATCAACGAGAAAAAGAGATAATTCCTTTCTTGACATTTGATAATGAAATTGTTTTAATCAATCCAATTAATCTCTCTGATATAGATATATATATATCATCACACTTTAATGATTTTTTTACTTTCTTTATTTTTATAATTTCTTTTCATATTTCTATTTTCTTTCCATATATATTTTATTATTTACTCTCTCAAGTATTGATTTTCATTGTTTACTTGTCAAACGTAAAATATTTTTTTGAACAAAAATGCAATTGATATAGAGCTCTTTTATTTCAAATCTGTCTTTTAAAGCACTTTTTTTAGATAAACCTCTCCAATGGAATTTAAATCAATACCTTTCAATATTTTGTTCATAATCAAACAATAGTAACAATGAAGTTTGTCAATTTTGTTGAATTTATTATTAAATATGACAAAACAAATTTTAGTTTTCATTTTTTTTGAGTGATTAATTGTATAAGCAATTAATTAATAATGAGCAGCGAAATTTATTTCGAATTAAAAGTAATAAATGAGTATAATAATAATCATAATAATGATATTTGCTTTGTAAGCTCGTTTATACTAAATTAATGTTAATTTTAATAATAACCACATTAATAATAATAATATAGAAATATTATTTTTTTATTTATTAAATCAAAATTTATTTAACCGTAATTTTTTATTTCGGATTTATTTATTTATTTCGAATGTTTAAATTCGCGGAAATTAAAAAAAAATTGTTATGAATAATGTGTGGCGTAATAAATGATAAATAATTGAATAATAATTCACATTGTCGTAGAGTATTTACGTAATGAAATAAATGTATTTATAAATTGTCATTACATTGTACAAAAGTGCTTCATTACTTCCGTCCAGTGCTTAATGAATAATTAAAAGTAACTGGAGAATTTCGAAGCCTAGTGAATACTTTGATGAGTTATTTCTTGAAGGGTTCTGGGTATAGTAGAAGCAGCTTAATCAAACTTTAGTAACCAAAATGAAATTCAAGTAAATGTAAATTAAACTTTTAGTGTTATTAAAAAACTTGTTTTTCTAAAATAACATTTAAACGCAAAAAGAAAAGTTTGATAAATATTTTTGGAAAAGTCAGGGAATTTTGATCGAAATCCTGGAAAATTGTTGTTTTTTAAAATTAAAATTCAATTATTTTCAAAAATTTTAATAAAATTCTTGACAAAATTTTAATTATTTCCAAAAACTTTCCTCAATTCAATGATTTTTAATATAAAAATTCTTAAAAGAATTCAATTAGTTAAAAAAAATTCTTAATAAAATTCGACGCAAACATTTAATTATTTCCATAAATAATAAAAATTTCACAGGAATTCAATTATTTACAAACTATTTTCATATATTATTCAATTATTTTCATAAATAATGACATTTTTTTACAGAGATTCAATTTTTTTCATAAATAATAAAACTAAATGCTGAATTTCAATTATTTTTAATACAATTTTAATGGAATTCCTCGAAGAAAGTTATTATTCTTAAAAATTTTATTAAAATTTATCAAAGAAATTCAATTATTTTAAAAACCTTTGCTGCAATTTATTAATTAGAATTTAAATATTATTTTCAATAGAATTTTTAATTAAATTTCTTTAAAGAATAAAATTATTTTCAAAAATTTTAATGAAATTCTTATTCGATTTTTTTCAAAATAATTTTAATAAAATTCTTCGCAGAAATCCAATTATCTTTAAAAATTTACAAAAATTCTCTTGAAAATTTCAATTATCTTTATAAATAATAAATTTTTTCTCCGAAATTCAATTATTTTCAAAACTTTTAATAAAATTCTTGGCAGAATTTCAATTATTTTTAATGCAATTTTCATCAAATTTCTCGAAAAATGCAATAATTCTTAAAAATTTTATTAAGATTTGTCAAGAGAATTCAATTATTTAAAAATTTGTTAATAAAATTTTTTACGAAAATTCGAATTTAAAAAATATTCAATTGTTTAATCAAATATTTATTTTTATAGTTAAATAATTGAATTCTTGTAGAATTTTTTATGTAAATATTGATTTAAAAATGAATTTCAAATTAAAATCTTTGAAAATTTGAACTTTTCATACTTTTAATTAAGAATTCTATAGAATTAATTTTTCTCAATAAGTTTAATGGAATTTTTTTTTATTATTTCAAGTTTTTAATTTCCAATATATTTATAATTGCAGAATATGTCAGAATAATCAAAATTTCGTAAAATTAAATTGTAAACAAAAGAATTTGAAAATTCACAAAGAACTTTTTAAAAAATTATTTTAAAAAAATTGACTTAAAGAAGAATTTTAGTTGAAATTTCTAGAAATAAATAAATAATAAATAAATATTTTTATAGTTGAATAAACAAAAATTAAAAATTAATAACAATAAAAAATAAACGTTTTTTGCAGATAAGTAAATAGATTTTTAATTCAAAAATTAGAGCAACTGGAAAATTTTCAAAAAAAAAGTTTATAAAAATTCATGTAATTTTCTGTCAAGAAATTTAATTATTAAATTTTCCTTTACAAACTGTTTATTGAAGCTCTTATGTCTCTAATTACATCATAGCCAAGTTTCAACAAGTTAAAATTATTTACAGGTGAAATGTAGTTAACTTTGCGTTAATAAAGGAAAATTAATTGAGAAATGGAATAATTTAGGAAAAATAGAATCTCGTTAATTATTCTTTTTTTTTCTCTCTCAAAAACCGAGAACAATAAATTTTTCTTTTAATTTGACATGGAAAATACCTTATCCACTTTCTCACTCTCTCCTCATAACTCATAAACTGCTGTCTGCAATATATATTTAGGGCAAGTAATTTACTATACAAAGTGATTATTCGCAATTTGCTTTCAGAAAATTTAACAGATTTACAAGATGTAGTGCAATGGATTTTTTTTTCTAATTATTGGAACAATCAGTTTATAAAATAATTATTTCATCTAGAAGTTAATTTATAAACAAGGTTAATTATTTTTTTATTGATGTTTTTATTTATGGAGGAGTCAAGACAAAACTTGTGTCTTTAATGTCGTAGATTTTGTATGAAAAAAATAAATTTTTGTTTTAGTGAAAGGGGGAAGAATTTAATTTTCTATAATTTGAATAATTAATTGTAAAATTGTAATTTTTATTCAATTACCTAGATAATTATTTTTATTTTTATTTATTTTTTTATTCGATTAATTATTTTTATTCATTTTTTATTCGATTAATTATTTTTATTTTTATTAATTTGTTTATTCAATTAATTACTTTATTTAATAAAATTCTTTGCCTAAATTGAATTTATCTTTCTCGTGTAAAATACGAAAAGACAATTTCGCTTTCGTTCACTTGGATGTTCAAAACGATTTGAAAAACAAAATATTTTTTTTTGATCTTCAATTCTGAATTTAATTATAATTTAAAAAAGATATTCAATTGATTGCAATTATTTCTATATAATATTAATGTACTTTTTCTCTTTTGTTTAGTGCCCCGGTTAGATTTAGAGAGTCTTGAAAGCGGATATCATGGATTGGTGAAAGAAAATGAATCTCTGGTCGAGGTGACACCGCAGATTCGCGCTTTGGGAGCCAAGATTTGCTCTTTTCATATCGCCAACAAACACCATGGCGAAGCGCCTTTTGAAATTTTACTGAAAGAAAATGGTGTGGCAAAGCTTAAGGCTCTACGAGTTTTGAACTGCGAGAAAAGACGTAACTACAAATTCGATATTGCCGCTGTCGCTTGTAATGGAGCCCTATCAGAAAGGTACGAGATTATTTTCAATCAAATTGAAAAAATTAACAAAATTTTCTATTTACTCAAAAAAAAATTCAAGTTTCTAATTTTAACAAAAAGAAAATTTGTTTTTCAATATTCAAAGCGTAGAATATTTCAGAAATATCCATTAAATATACGTTCAGTTAAATTTGTTTTTAATTTAAATACAATAATTCAAAATAAATAAATATTAATTGCAAACAAAATATTATAACAGAACAAACAGCAATTTAAAAAGGATCATCGATCCAGTGCAAAACAATTAATTTTCAATTAAAAAGGAGAGCTTTGGATGATGATGGTTTTTCGAGAAAAGTGTATTTTGAAAAATGTATGAAACATTTTTTATTTTTTATAATTAAACCAGTAAATCCAGGTTAAAACTTGAAATAACGTGGGATAATGAAAATATCGATTTCTTTAAGCTTTGAACGAATGGAACACACGGTAAAATACTGATGAATGTCCCTCATTTTTAACAAAAGACGCGTATAGTGAATTCAATAGTACATTCAGTTAAAGCTTCATAAATAGAACTCAGAAAACTTGTACAAGACAAACAATTGTTAGGAGCCTATATTGAAACCTATATAATCCATAGATATATATTGTAATTTACTTTAATAATACACTCAAATCTATATCAAAATTATCTCCCTCTCCCTCTCCCTCTCTCTCTGTGAAATAATATCCTATTTTCTTCAATATTCCTTTAGAATTCGAGAAATTAAAAAAAAACAATTGTATTTGTAATACGATTTTATTTTAACCCACAAAATCTTTCTCTCATATAATCTAGATTGACACCATATTTCATAAAAAATTGAAATACTAACGAATTTATGTTTTTTTTTTCTGGAAAATTTGACCTGATTTTTATTTTAACTGGAAATTTTAATTATTCGAATTTTTATTTAAATGAGTTTTAACTGAACGTTTAATTTAATGGAATTTTTAATTTTTCAATTTTAAGTGGGGGGATTTTTTTTATTTAACTCAGTTTTTATTTAATAAAGTCAAAGTGTTTATTTAAGTGATTTTTTACGTTCGGATTTTTGTTGTACAGAATTTTTATTTCGAATTTTTATTTACAATTTTTATTTTAAGTTCTTATTTACTTCGAAACTTAACGAAAATTAAAATTAAAAATTCTGTTTAGCGAATTACTAAAATAAGTAAATATTCTGTTTTAAAAATGTTTCTACTTTTTTCTCTTCTTTAAATTAGACTCAATTTTAATTTTAACTCGAATTTTTATTTGAGTTTTAACAGAAAAACGAATTTTTTATTTCACAGGGTTTTTAAATTACTTTTTATTTCGATTTAATAGAATTTTAATGTAGTTAAATTTAACTTTTATTTTCTATTTATATGAGTTTTAACTAAACGGAGTTTAATTTAACAGAATTTTTAATTTTTCAATTGTATTTAAGAGAATCTTAATTTAACTGAGCTTTTATTTAATAGGATTTTAATTTAACTGAATTTTCATTCTTTGCTGATTTTCATTTTACATAATTTGTATCTCTGTATTTATTAATATTACTTATTATTTTTTAATTATTATTCTTATTAATTATTTAAAAGGAGATATTGATTAATTTTCATTAATTATTTATTTGTTTTATTTATTTTTATTCAGACAAAAAAGTCGTTTCAGTGAATAATTACTAGAATCAATAGAAATTAATTTTTAGTTATAATACAATTTTTATTTAAAAGACGAATTTTTTTATTTTGATTTTGATTCTACAGAATTTTTATTTCTGTATTTATTTATTTAATTTTATTTAGATGAGAATGTCTGTTTAATGAATAATTACTGAAATAAGTAAAAATTCATTTTAAAAAAATTACGTTCAAATACATTTTTTTCGGAAATTTTGACACAATTTGTTTGGATTTTCATTCTACAGAATTTTTATTTCTGTATTTATTTATTATTATTTGTTTACTTAATGTTATTTATTTATTTTATTTATTTATTTATTGTTATTTAGATAAAAAAAAGTCGGTTCAATGAATAATTACTAAAATAAGTAGAAATTCATTTTAAAAAAATCTCGTTCACTAAAATTTTTTCCGAAATTTTGATCCAATTTTAATTTCATCTCGAATTTTTATTTAACTATGTTTAACTTAATCAATTTTTTTTAGTTCTCGAAATTTTAATTTATTCGATTTTTTATTTAAAATAATTTTAATTTAATCGATTTCAACTTGAATTGGTAATTTATTCGAATTTTAATTAAACTGACATGAGTTTATTTTAACTGAATTCGAATTTCATCAAATTTTAATTTAATAAATTTTTTATTATCGAAATTTTTGTTGAACAGAATTTCTGCTTCGGTACATAGAAATTCGAAAGAAAATTTCTGATATTAAAAATTATTTTTAGCGAACATTAAACAATAAGTAGAAATTTGTTTTAAAGAAAATAGGTTAACTTTTGTTACTTTACAGAAATTTTGACAAAAATGAATAAATAAATTAATTCTGTCGAGTGGAAATTATGCTAAATGAGAGAGAATTCGAGAAAGTAGAATTAGATAGACAAAATTTCGATTCAATAAAAAATTTTTAATAGAAAATTTCATAGAAATGAAAGATAATTTCATGGGAAATTGTTAAAAAAAAAAACAAGGATTAAAATTAATTGTATTAAAGTTGAATTAATTTAATTAATAAAAAGAAGGGATTGAATATTCCATTCTGCGATTTTGTTTATTGAAAAATCTATCAAAAGTAATGAAATTGAAAACCGAAACGTTACTTAAAATAAAATCGAAAAAATATTGAAAATGTTTCACATATTTTTTTCATCAATAATTTAAGACCGTAAAGTTTTTTAACAAAAGAATGTTGCTTTTAGCCTGAAAAAATATTTTTTCTATTAAATTGTTAACGACAAGATCTGATTAAAAGTATTTTCTAAATTTATTGACTTTTATGAAAATCAAAAACGAAATATAAATTTCCTCGTAAACTATAAAATTACCACGAATTTTAATACAAAACCTTCAATTTTTTCTATAACTTATATTTTTCTCATGTGAAATTGCAAAAATTGCGTGACAAGAGGGGAGGGGGGGGGGGGGTCGAAAATCTCCAAAAATTGCGTGACATAATTTGTGAACGCTCCCTTATTTAAAAAGATTTTTATAAAATTCATCGCATCAATTCAATTATTTAAAAAAAATTTAACAAAGTTCTTTTTAAGAATTCAATTATTTATATAAATAATAAAATTCTTCACTGAAATTCAGTTATTTTTATGAACTTGAATAAAATTCGTTGGAAGCATTAAATTATTTTCAAAAGTAATAAAATTCTTCACAGAATTTTAATTGTGTTCAAAAATTTTTTAAAAATTCTCGTCAATATTTCAATTATCTTTATAAATAATAAAATTCTTCTCCGAAATTCAATTATTTCAAAAAATTCTTGGGAAAATTTTAATTATTTTCATAAATAATAAAACTCATCGCAGAATTTCAATTATTTTTGATACAATTTCAATCAAATTCCTCGAAAAATGTAGGTAATTATTCTTAAAAATTTTATTAAAATTTGTCAAAAGAATTCAATTATTTAAAAATTTGTTGCTAAAATACTCCATGAGAATTCAATTTTAACAAACATTCAATTATTCAATAAATTATTTATTTTTTAATTTAAATAATTGAATTCTTCTAGAATTTTCTAATAAAAATTGATTTAAAAATTAATTACCGAATAATCGATTTATTATAATTATGAAAATAATTGAATTTTTTATGAGAAATTTTACTGCTTGTAAAAATAATTGAATTCTTGTGAAGGATTTTTGTAAATAATTAACTTTTTTTGAAAAATCTTATGGTAATTTAAATTATTACAAAACATGAAACTCCGAGTCTTTGACTCGGAGTGATCTATTTCTTTATGTTTTGTAATAAATAATAATATTTTTGTAAGTTGTTGAATTTCAAAAAGGTTTGAATTTAAATGTATTGAAGAATTTTAATTTCTGTGGAAAAATAATGATTAAATATTTATTTAAAAAAGTATTTATTGATGTTTTTGAATAATTTTACAATTAAATGAAATAAATGTATCATCACGGAGATTTATTTTTTTGAGTATCTAATAATTTTTAGAGTGAATCAGAATATTCTTTGAGTCAGGGAAAAAGTTAAAATTTTGTCTGGAAATCAGGGAAAAGTGAGGGAAAAATTAAAATTAATTATTTGTGGCAACCATGTTTAGTGACATAATTTTTCGTTCCTTGATGAGAAAAATAATAATGAATAATTTTTCTGTTGGTAAATTTTCAGCGCTGCAGTGCATATAACAGTTGTCGACGTGAACGAGTATGCACCGCAATTTTTACAACCTGCATACGTGAATACAGTGGATGAGGGACGTCTTTATGAGGAAGTTGTTCGCGTCGAGGCGACCGATCGTGATTGCACGCCAAAATACGGCGATGTATGCAAATACGAAATTCTCACTGACGATCAGCCGTTTACAATTGATAATGAGGGAGCAATCAGGAATACCGAGCCTTTGGATTACGAGCGCTCGCATAATTACATATTGAGTGTGGTCGCTTATGATTGTGGAATGAAACAATCGGCACCGGCAATGGTTACAGTCAAAGTTAATCGTGTTTGCTCGCCCGGCTGGCGAGGAGTTCCTGAAAGAGTTGATTATGCTGCCGGAGTTGGTTCACAGCCATTGCTTCCATCGGCGAGATTGGAACTTTGCGATGCACCCTGCACGCTGAGGAGTCTTCGAACAACATTGAGTCTGGCGACGGATCATATTGGAAAGGGTTGCGATCGTGACACTTACAGTGTTCAGAGTCAACGGAAATTGTGTGGAGCCTCGCGAGATAGTGTCGATCTTTTACCAACACCGGGACCGTCAACATCCTGGACGTCGCTATTGTCAAGGGACGAGGGACGTGAGGCTGATGAGATTTTCGAATTTGACGGTGCCAATTCCGCAGCTATTGTGCCGAATGATGTTTTGGAGCATGCACTTGCGCAGAAATTCACGATTGGTGTTTGGATGAAGCATCGACCTAGGCCCAGACAAGATCCGCATGTTAAGGAACATATTCTGTGTGCTGCTGACGATCACAGTGAGTATTGCAGGGATAAAAGAAATTTTTTATATAATTATATTATATTACAGGCTTCGCACTCGTCTACTAAAACCTACTATTTACTACTTTTTCTACGTTCAATTATTATTTGGGTTCATTTTTAAGAATTCAGCCACTAAAAGCTACTATTTCTGTTTTTTTGGACAATTTCCACTACTTTAAATTCGCTAATAGTAGAAATCAAAAACTTTTCAAAAATTATAATCAAATTCTTTAAAACGATTCAATTATTTTCAAAAAATACTCGAAATACAGTTATTTTCAATATCTATAGTATTTTCATATAATTTCGCAAAATAATTCAATTATTTGAAAAAAAAAATTAATAAAATTCATCCAAAATTCAATTATTTTCATAATTACAGTAAAATTCTTCTCAGGAATTGAATTATTTTTGAAAATTTTTTATAAAGTTCTTAGCAACTATTCAATTATTTTCATAAATTATATTATTTTTAATACAATTTTACAGGAATTGCTTAAAAAATGTAATTATTCTTAAAAATTTAATTTCAATTCCTCAAAAAATTAAATTATTTAAAAAAATGTTTCTTTCAAATTCTTTGGAAGAAAAAAAAAATTGTTCGAAACAAATCAATTATTTTAAATATAATTTTAATTAAATTTTTTTGAAATAATTCAATTATTTTGAGGCATTTTAATAAAATTCTTTGCAAAATTCAATTATTTCCATAAATAACTATTTATCGCAAGAATTCAATTATTTATAAAAGTAATAAATTTCATCTTGGGAATTCAATTATTTTAAAAAAATCTAATAAAATCGTTCGCAAGAATTCAATTTTTGTCAAAAAAATTTAATAAAATACAACACAGAGACATTCATTATTCAATTATTGTCAAAAATTTCAATAGAATTCTTTGCAAAAATCTTCGTAAGAATTCAATTCTTTTTAGGAATAATAAAAATTTCTTAGGAATTTAATTATTTAATTTAAATTATAATTTGCATAAAATTAGTAGAAAGAAATCAATTATTTAAAAAATTTTATAAAATTCTTTGCAAGAATTAAATTATTTTTATAAATATTTAAATTCTTTCATAAATAATATGAAATTCGTTGCAGGAATTTAATTCATTAGCAGGATAAGAAAGATGAAAATATTTTTGATGAAAATTAGGGAAAAGTCAGGAAAATAAAATATGGAATGGAATTTTTGTCAGTTTAATTTTTCGATAGCTACTTTTTTACTACATACATTTTTTACTTTGAAAATACGACTTTTTGAATTTTTTAAAATTATTATTTTTAATAATAATAATTTAAATAATAGTTTACATTTAATAATAATAATTAATTTAATAATAAAAAAAGCGACTTTCTTCAATTTATTTTCCAAAAATTGCTACTTTTTCGACTTTTCTTCCAAATATTGCAACAAAATTACACTTTCTTGGTATAAAATGCAATTTTATTTCTATTTTTATAGTACGAAAAGTAGCTATAGTCATTCTCAAAAAGTTCTGAATTTTGAAAGGACTGAAATATTTTTTCTCTATAAATATTTCAAAAATTACGGATTAAAATAAATATTAAAAATTTTTAATTGAACACTTTGAAAATCGAAACATAAATGATTATTGTGAAATGTGAAGTTCCTGAAGTTATAAAGTTGCTAATTCAATTTTTTTTATGTTTATTGTAGTTAGAAATTTATGAAAATATTCACAACAGCAAAAATTTTCGTTCAATCGAAAGTTGGAAATTTATGGATCATAAAACGTGACGTCCGCAACGTTTTTAAAAATTAAAAAAGAATTTTTTTTTTATTTTTTATATCTAATTTTCATGTGCGTAAATTTTTTAATACAATAGTTGTTCGTTGCTCAAAACTAAAATAATATATAAATAAAAATAACAAAAATTTGAAGCCAAAATAAGGCAAAATCGTCACATTATTTTTTTCTTTTTTAAAAACGTTGCCAACTTTAGACTCAAATCCCAGAAAAATGAATTTTTATATTTTGATAATTTAATTCTCGAGGAAAATATTGGAAAACTATTAAAAATAATTGATAATTGATTTAGAAAAAAAATTTTTGTTATAAATTTTGGAAAATAAGTGAATTTTGAAAGAAATTGTAGTTGTAATTTTTAGAAATAATTTAATTTTGAAAGAATTACATTTAATTAACATTTAAAAAATTTTTATTTCTGTGAAAAAATCAATAACATATATTTAAATATTCACATGTATAAGAAAATTATTGAATTAAGAAATCAGTGTAAAATCAGGAAAATACAAAATGAAATATTTTTGACAAAACTGATTCGAATAAGCGACTTTTTCGACTTTTTTAAAAATATTTTTAATCTACTAAAGCGATCTTTTTGTTTTTTAAAGTCGATCCGAGGCCTGAATTTAAAAACGGTGAATTTTCAAATTAAGTTCAAAATTATTGTATTATTCGATAAGATTTTATATAAGATTTTTTTTTTACTTTTTCTATTAATTACGCAGTAAAAAACTTCGGTCTTGATAAAATTATTACTAAAAAAAATAGTAAACTTTACTATTAAAAATTGTTATTGCCAGAATAGCTTTAATTATTTTCAAAGGCCATTTTTTTTTGAAAAATTTGAAAAATTTACTTTAGAAAATTTATTCTGGAAATTGAATTTGACATAAATCCCAAATAGTTTAGGTGTTGGTTCATTAATAGTAAAAGTTAGTATTTATTTGTTACCTTCTATATGAAAAAAATTCTAAGTTTAAAAATCTCTGAAAAATAATATAAAAAGATATTTAATCTCAAAATTTTTAAACCCTTTCTCTTTTTTTAATTCTCAAATCTCAACATAAAGTTTTCCTAAAGTTTTTAACGTTCAAATGAACGAAATTTTTTTCTACTTTTCAAAGTATTTTTTAAAATTTCTATACAAACAAGAAAAATAATTAAAATTAAATATTTACTTAAATAAGTATCAACTTTTTCTAATATACAAAATATTTTTCTTTATAACAAGAAAATACGTAAATTAAATGAAGTACAAAAATATCGTCGTTAATTTGAACGTTCGAAACTTTAGAAACATAAAAAAATACAAAAAATTAAAATTTTTCCTTAGCTTGTAAAAAGTAAAATTTTTTTCTTCAAGAAAACTAGAAATTTTTTGTTAACTTACACTTACAATTTTTGAAAGTCATTGACAAATAAGAGGAAAAGGGGAGAAAATGTATTATTTTAGGTGTATTTAGGGAATTTTATTATCAAAAGGGGATCGAAAAGTGAACAAGGGAATAAAAAAAGGGGAAAAGAGGAAAAAAACGCTGACTAACTGTAGTCTCTGTTATCGTACTTTCTTTTCTGCTTTGAATTGTCTACTACAACATTTTTTTCCCTTTGATTTAGAAATGAATCGACATCACTATGCGCTATTCATTCGCAATTGCCGATTGATTCTTCTGCTCCGTCGGGACTTCTCTGAAGGCGATCCAAATATATTCCGTCCTGCTGAATGGCGCTGGAAATTGGCTCAGGTATGTGACGATAAGTGGCATCATTTAGCGATTCAGGTTGATTTTCCGAAAGTCACACTCTTCGTGGACGGTGAAGAGTGGCACACGGACGAGAAGAATCCGGAAATTATTGACGATTGGCCATTGCATCCGGCCAAGGGGATTAATACAACGTTGGTGGTTGGCGCTTGCTGGCAGGGCTCTGACAATAAAACGAAACATCATTTCCGTGGTTATTTGGCTGGTCTCTCGGTATTGGTGGGCAGAAATGAAAAATCCGAGGTTCTCTCTTGTCTGCGACATTGTCAGGAGGGCATTCACGTGCCACCGGTCGATCTCCTGCAACCCGGTATCGAACTCTTGACGAATTCCGACATGACCGAGGTTCGTATCAATGGGGATAATCGCACTAATGTCGAGACGCTGCTCCGTCGCATTGGCTACTCGAATACGAGAAGATTCCCAACGCCAGGTCGTCGTAATTTCCGCCTTGACACGATAATCAAGTGCGAGGGCAGTCAGTCGAGACCGCTGGTGATTCCGTCGATCCAGTCGTACGTGACGGTCCTTCCGCCGCCACGTCCTGGCATCACTGTCAATGGCACGGGCTACGTTGCTCGGGAGTACACTGACTTCCGCCAGGGAGTTCGCGTCTTTCCCGACGCGAAAGTAACGGCCGGCTCGGCGGCGAGATTGGACGCCTGTGCCGTCAGTGTGTACCCGAGTCTGAATCCGGATCACGAGACTCTCGACTTGCCCGGCGACGCCTTGAGGAGATTCCACAACATCGCGGCTCGCATCGATCGCGATGGTGTCGTACTCTCCGGCGCTGACTCGCCGAGAAACTATCAGCAGCTGATTCGCTTGATTGTCTACACGAATCGTAAGCCCGCTTACTATTTGGACAGAGTTTTCAAACTCACCTGCTCCGAATTGAGCGACAGATTCGCCAGCAATGAGTACATCCAGACATTGGCGGTGATTCATCCGAAGGAGAAGACAACTCTGGTGCCACACTCGACTTCGGGCGAGCCGCCAATGGCGAAAATTGTCGAACCCGCTCCGGGACATGCGCAACTCTCGCGGCATCACGCCGACATTTCGGACGAGTACTCAACGTCAACGTTGCACGAGGGCCGGGCAATTGTCGGATCCAGTGGAAGTCATGCGGTGACAATTGTCGCCGCCGCTTGCATTGGATTTTTATTGCTGATGGGCGTCGTGGGTGCGGCGAGAGTGAGAGGCGCGTCCAAGCGACGACGCACCGCGGGCGATGAACTCACTGCTGAGACGGAAATGGCCTGGGACGATTCGGGTCTCGCCATCACTGTCAATCCAATGGATCGATTGAACGAGGGCAGCAGTCAGCAGGATCATCGTGAGGAGGACATGGATGATTCGGGTAGCTCCGACTCCGAGGAGGGCTCATTCCGGGATGACGATCTTGACACATCGGACTGTGAGAATGATTGTGAATTGAATGCGGGCAGACATCGGGTTCATAATGCGCCCCACGACCTCGAGTGGGATCATCGTGTCGTCTAATGACGCGCGACCCAACAATCATTTATCAGTACGGTTTTAAGCAGAGTACTGACACTGTTGCTGCGCGATTTTTAGTTTCATGATCTCATCCCGTGACACTCTCGATTCTCCTCCCCCACCCGCCACCCCCTTGGTACGAGAACTTTCATTCATTTTTTTCACAATTTTGTGTTCAAAAATTTCAATCCTGAAAAAGAGAAGAGGAGAAATCTACACTAAATTCAGAAGATGTTCTTTTTTTCCTTACCTTCGAGAAAATAGTTGAGTGCCTCTGATACCAATTCTAAAAAATTCTGTAGTCCTCATTACTTGATTTTCAGAATTTATTGTGGATATTTCAAGAAAGAAATGAGTTATTTTTAATTAAACATTCAATTTTCAAGAAGAATTTTTGCATTTAAAATATCTAAATGACAAAGGGAACGGAAAAAAGCGCAAACTTGACTAAACAAACAAAACTGAGATTCGTAGGAAAAGTTAAAAACTTATTGAAGAGAGTCGACTGAATTACATTTATATAATGGATATGCATTTATTCAGGACTTTTAAAAAGCTTCTTCTTGATCCAAGTTTTCTTAATGCATTCTTAAAGATAACTTTTCTTTTTAACTCTCGACAAGTTTTCACAAATATTTTTTAAAACCATATCGAAAGCCCGAAATAAAAAGTCCCTGGGCTTTACAAGAAAAAAAAAGCACAAACAAAAAACAGCACCTAATAAATTCGAGCACAAGTTTTTAAAAAAATAAAATATCGAGAAAAAGCGAGAGAGAATGAGAATATGAAGAGAGAGAAAGAGAGAGAGAGAGTGAGAATGAAAAAAGAGCATTTTTTCGAATTCGCCAAGGTTCGAGTCCAGAGACAATTGATCTAAAATAGAGACCTAGATAACAATTGTGTTCTTTAGCGGTAGGTGAAAGTGTCATATTGTATCCGTCCCCGTAGATTTGCATTTGTAGAAAGATAAACCGTTAGTACTCTACTTAAAGACCCGAGATGAAGAAGAATAATTTTTAAAGAGTGCAGGACGCTTTATCTAATAGTTAACTCTTTCTACCTGCAGTATCTATTGCTCCATCAGCGATAGTAAATGGAAAAAAAAGAAAAAAAAACGACTCTCGAATGTTTTACGAGTTGTCAAACCTATATGTTTACAATAATTTATATTCTTGAAATCCTATCGACTATTATAATTATTACGTTATATAATTATGATTACGATTACAGTAGCTGGGAAGGGAACTTTTTTACACTCCTAAATATTGTCGCTCCTAATAATAATAAAAAGAAAATGAAAAAAAAAAAATTATACTATTGCTACTGGAAAAAAAGCTAGTTGTAACGTCAACTGCTGTTAGAATTTACTGTTATTGTCGATAAAAATATAGAAAGTCAGCCTCGGTAGTAAATGCAAAGGCAAAAAAGCATTAAACGAGCAGCCGCACTATTTTAATTATCGAGAGACCTGTACCAATATTTGATCTCACGGATTTATCTTTTTTGCAAAGAAGATGAACTCTGTATTTGTGAACGCAAATACTTTTTTCGTATATAGGGGTGTTACGCAATTTTTAAAAAAAAGGACAAAAATTTAGTTTCTTTTCAATTTTTTGAATGCGAAAAATCGGGCAATGCGTATTATGTTCGTGACGAAGGGGTTTTTTATTCCAAAATTCTTTCGAGACTGAAAAAGAAAAGAAAAATCGGTAAAAAAAAATAATTCAAATTCTAAATAGAATAATAATTTTTGTTTCGAGTAAAAAAAATTGTCTTCCATTGCTGACATAATACGCTGTCCCCGTTTGCAAATATATTTCCTGAATGTTTCTTTATTGGAAGTGTGCAATTGTTTCGTTAATCCGAACTACTAAAGCTGCGCGCTTAAATATATATATTAAAAAAAAGAGCAGTCGCACTTTATTTGCGAAGCTGTGTTTGAAAGGTTTTAGTTTTATATAAATATTATACATATAGCTATATGTATACATACATAACTCTCGCTTTAGATGAACTCCACTGACTTTGTCGAAAGTCACTGACGTTTAATCACCAAAAAGTTGACTTTATAAAAATCTTTTTTTTTTTTTTTAGGAAAAATAATACAGCAATTTAAAAAAAAATACCTAAATCGGTATGTTTTTAAATAATTTGTAATTTTTATATAACGTGTCAGTGTGTTTTATTCAATGAAATGATTGTTACGAAACAAAAATTTCATTGAAAAATGAAAATTTAATTTAAAGGCTAAATAAAAAGAATTCTAAACAATTGAAAATAAAAGAAGAAAAAAGGAGAATAGAAGAAGAGAAATGGTGGAAAAAAAGATTTTTATAAATTCGACTTTTCTAATCAGAAGAACAAAAAAAGAATATGGATTGTACTCTAGCGATATAGGGCAATGTGCTAGGCAGTATTTGACTAATAGGCGAACAAAAAAATTCTAAATTCGTTTTTACGAAAGAATATATTTTCTTGGTTCAATTAGAGGGAAAATTCCGCTTTTTTTTTTAAATACAGTGTGGTAAATTGAAAATTCTCCGTAAATCATTTTTTTTTTTGTCGAACAGTGAACAATTTTTTATATTGGCCTGCGGAAAATAAGGCCAAACGTCTATTAAGATAGAAGATTGGTTTTCTGTGTCATTTTTTTTTCATCCAATCCAAACAGTGCCCAGTGTCCACTTGAAAATGGAGGAAAAAAATTCAAACCGGTAAAAATGTAAAATTCTTTTTAATACGCTATGTAAATTTTTATTATTTATTTAATTCTTTTTTTGAATTTAATTCTTTTTACTTTTTTTATTTTAATTATTTTTTATTTTTTATTCATTTTAATGTTTTTAACTTTTCTTCAAATTTTAATTTATTTTCAATTTTTATCCTTTTTTGAAAAATAAATTCGACTGAATTCAATTTTATTAGACATTAATTCTTTTTCGAAAAATAAATTCGACTAAATTTGATTTTATTATAAATTAATTCTTTTTCGAAAAATAAATTTGATTTTATTATATAAATGATTTTTTTTTATTCGTTTTTGGAAAACAAATTCGACTGAATTTAATTTTACTGTTAAATAAGTTTTATTAGAATTTTAAGTTTTTGGAGAAGAGAATTTTAGATGGAAATCTATTCGAAATGAGGGAAAAAGAGTTGAAGAGATTGAGAATGAGGAAAAATAATGGAGAAAACCAATTTTGTATCAACGATGGACCAATAAAAACCTCGCAGACCTCATTTTTCTCGTCAATACTGCCCAGTTTTTTTTTTTTGAAAGGTCGAATGTAATGCGTATTTAGAATCGTATCGATCAAATGTGTAGAACTAAAAATTTATGTATGAATAATCTATATTCATAAAAAGTATATGATAATTTATTTTTCCAATGTGCATATCATATCATTTTTATAAGAGGTTTGTCAGATCTGAAGGCTTTACACCAGAACTCGAAATAGCAGTTTAGCGTGGAGATTATTCGCCATATTATTAAGTATTTTTTGTTCTCTTCGTTGTATTATGCTTTTTAACTAGTTTTCCTTCTCCATTGTTCCCAATGGGGTTTTTTTATTTAAGTTTTCTCTTGTTATTCGCTTTTTTTTATGTCAGACGAAAAAAAATCGATTCAAATCTTTGATTTGAAAATTCGAAATTTTACTTTATTATATAATTTCGGTAAAAAAAAAGAAAGCTCCATAGCGTTCTGCGTCGATTAGATGTAAGGCTAAGTTTATAAATAGAAATAGTACAATCATGTGAAAAAAAACATTCAGTCCAAATACGTGTGTATATTCACGTAGCAATGCCTAAATTTTCTACTTTTTCTTAGTGGTCGCTTTATTTCTTTGTTCAATTTCTATTTACAAAAAGTGAAAAAAAATTTCTACTTGACACAGAGACAAGTAAAAGATAAAAAAAAACTATTTGTGTGAAAATTTTCAGGCATTTAGGTGTTTGCGATGGTGTCTGTAATTTTCAGATAGTTAACTAACCAGATAAAAAAGAATTAAATTTTCTTAAAAAGGATGTTCAAAGTAAAAAAAAAAATACTCGAATGACGTAATAGATAATACTACGTAAAAAAAATTCTCGACTACGTAAAAATTGTATTAAATTGTACTAGAGATAAATCTAAAGAAAGGATCTGTTAGATAAGGAATCAATCGATCGGATGAACTTTTTAAAAAAAGTGTTGCAGACTAGACTGGCTTTTAATTCATGGTTCGGATTTATGAATAATCTAACACGAGTGTACAGTCATCGATGTATGTACTTAATTAAGCTGTGCGGACAAAAACGGGAAAGAGAAAAAAAAAGTCAATACAAGAGTTTCTCGAAACAAAAAAGAAATATCTCCCGAATTAACTAGAAGTAAATTGTTTCTTTCATTAAATTGTAAATTTTTCACTTCAGTATTAATATAGAGAACAAAAAAAAGTATTATTCAATAGAATATTTTTTGAGAAATTTAGTTTCAAAATGAAATAATTTAGTAAAAGTTAATCCTAAATATGTTTTTTGAGAAGCTTTGTGTATTGACAAAAAAATTCGAATGTAAACAATTTTTACAAAATCTTTTTTTTCTTGAACGTGTAATGTGTGAAAAACAATACTCAAAAGAAATCATATCAAATTCGAATATATAAAGAGAAAAATTTAGAAATTACTGTCGTCTACCATCTCGAAGGAGAGAGATTTATTCACTGAGAAATAATTAATTGTGTGTACGTGAATCACTAAAAAAATTAAATTAGTAAATTAAGCAAAAATTCTTCAAGGACCTTTTTTGTTCTTATTTTGATCCTAACAGATTTCTCTGTTACTTTCATCATAAGGACTCAAGAGCTCGCTCAAGAGTCTATAAAAGTAATTGGGAAAAAGTTTATCAATTTTTTCGGCTGAATAACCAACAAATGTGGGAATAAAAGGGAAAAAAATGAGTTCGTCGCACGCTATAGTTTTAACAAAAAAAGGGTGTTAACTGCGTTTCATAATTAAAAAATCTAAAAAAGAAAATAAAGAAGGAAATTACACACACAAACACACACCTAACCACGCGCGTATGCAACACACCGCAAGTGACACTTAAGTATGATGATAAACGCAAGATTACTAATATTATATACAATATAAATGAAGAAAAAAAAACAAAAAATTATATATATAAATAAATATATATATACATTGAAATGTGTATATATATGTATTAATGTTACGATATAAACTAATCAATAACCTATTAACGATTATGAATTAGCTAGGCTGTACTGAAGTATTCTTATGAGCTGACTAAATTCCCTCCCATTACATACCAATGGATTGTGTGTTAACTAATAAGATTTAAATATAAATGAAAGAAAGAAAGAAAGAAAAAAAAATAAAATGTAATAAGGAATTAATTATCACAAAATGGGTAATAACGAAAATGTCCGCTTTTCGACGCAGTGTAAAACAATTTACAATAAAAAAATAAATAAATAAATAAAATATGACACCCTGAGTTATTCAGTGGCGTCGTTCGTGGCGCACAGGAATGTCAAATTACCTTTTTAATTCTCAAAAAAAAAATAAGGATGGTTCGACAACAGTGTATTAGCAATAGTACATTAACCACATTACGCGGATAACACTGCACATGCTAGAAAAAAAAATGAAGTAACTATCCGAACGACACATACATATTATAAATATTATTAAGGCGTCGTGTATTTGTTTAATAAAGGTGTACATTCGAAATTGTTGGTCTTTTCTTTCCAAAAAAAAAATAATTTTTCTTCTAGACAGTGGAAATAATTCAAATTATGATCAAAGTTCTGAACGTTGAAATGAACGAAATAAATGAAAAATTTAATTTCTACAAATTAAATTTTTCGTACAATAATAATCGTTTTTTTTCTATTTAATTCAAGAAAATTGGATTTGAACAAACAATTTCAAAATACTAAATATAAATAAATAAATAAATACTAATATTTTTTTTTTGTTTAAAAAACTATAAAATAAATATTTCGTGTATTCGAACGTTCAAAACTCGTGAATCATTTCAAAGTTTAATTTGTTATAAATATTAGAATCGTATATTTGCGGAGCAAATTGGCATATACATACGTTTTTTTTCAAAGATTAATTTATGTACAAATATTGATTATGTTCCTTTTTTTCGAGAAAAAAATAACTAAACTTATCAAAACAGTCCTGTCAAGCTTACAATCAAGTTTCTTTTATATATACACAACTTCGCAGATAGTAAAACAATATTATATTCTAAAGGATGATTTACAATGTGTTCGTAAACTTAAATGGGATTTTTTAAATTAAGATTAAATAATTTATTTTTTTTATATATTAAAAGAAAAAAAAATAACCTTCACCAATATTGCACAAACAAATACAAAATCTAAGTCCCAAGTCTCACTTTTCTTTTTTATCTGTTAGTTTGCAAAACAATTAAATTGCTGCAGTTTTCTTTTTTTTTTTATAGAGGTGAGTGTCGGTGCGCGTCATTAGAAAAAGAAAATTCATTGTAAAAATAATTGTCTCACCTTGGAAAATAACGAAAATATATCCATTGTCAATCAGCAAACGACAATTGTTGTTTGCTCACCACTACTTGGTAGAAATAATTTTATATTCTCTGCACTCCAATGGAGTAGTGCTCCTTGACAAACGACACTCCATACGTAGGGAATAAAAAATTCCTCCGGTTGCTCCTCCTCGACGTATTTGAATTTTAGCTCTGGAAATTTCTGCAAAGAAATTTTTTTTATATTTCAAATTCAAACTTTTTTGAAATTCAACAACTTATAGAAATAATAAAGTAAAACATGAAGATAACGATCACTCCAAGTCGTAGACTCGGAGTGATGGACATCTTCATGTTTTATAATAATTATGATGATTATTTTTTATAATTTTTCCAAAAGTTCTTTGAGAATTTTCAAATCCATTAGTTTACGCAATTTAATTTTATAAAATTTCATCGATTATTTGGAAATTTTTCAATTAAACTTATATTAAAAAATAAAAACTTGGAAGAATTTAAAAAAAAAAAATTCAATTAAACTTATCCGAAAAAAATTAATTATACAAAATTGTTAGTTAACAGTATGGAAAATTCAGATTTTCAAAGATTTTAATTTAAATCATTTTCAAAATTCAATTATTTCTAAAAATTCCTGCTTATAATGCTTTTAATTTATTATCTAAAATGTTAACTAAATTTCATTTCTAAATCAATTTTTATTATAAAATTCGAAGAGAATTCAATTATTTAAATACAAAAATAAATAATTTATTGAATATTTGGATATTTCTTAAAATTAAATTCTGATATAGAATTTTACTAAAATTTTTGAAAATAATTGAATTTCGGAAAAGAATTTTATTATTCATAAAGATAATTGAAATTTTGACTTTAAATTTTTTGAACGTAATAGAATTCTGCGAAGAATTTTATTACTTTTGAAAATAATTGAATTTTTCCGAAAAATTTTATTCAAAGTTTTGAATATAATTGAATTTCTATGAAGAATTTTATTATTTATGAAGATTCGTGATTAAATTCGTGCCAAGAATTTTATTAAATTTTTCGAAGGATTTCATTAAAATGCTTTAAAGTAATTGAATATTGTCGAAATTTTTGTTAAAATTGTATTGAAAATAATTAAATTCTTCCCAAGAATTTTATTAAATTATTTCAAAATAATGGAATTCTTATAAAAAACTATCAAAATTTTTGAAAATAATTGAATTCTTGCTAAGAATTTGATTATTTATGAAAATAATTGAATTTTTGATAAGAATTTTATTGTTTATAAAAATAATTGAATTTCGGCAAAGAATATTATTATTTATGAAAATAATTAAATTTCTCCGAAGAGTTTTTATAAAATTTTTAAAAATAATTGAATTTCGGAGAAGAATTATTTTATTTATAAAAATAATTGGAATTTTGACGAGAATTTTTGGAAATTTTTGAAAATTATTGAATTTCTGCGAAGGATTTTGTTACTTTTGAAAATAATTGAATTCTTATAAAAAAACTATTAAAATTTTTGAAAATAATTGAATTTTTCAAAGAATTTAATTCTTAAAATTTATTAAAATAATTGAATCTTGTAAAATTTTATTAAAATTGTAATAAAAATAATTGAATTCTTGCTAAGAATTTTATTATTTATGAAATTAATTGAATTTTTGCGAAGTATTTTTTTTACTTTTGAAAATAATTGAATTACTACAATTATTTGTAAATTCTCCAAAATTCAATTTTTTTAGTTCATCTATTTATGAAAATTGTAAACGCAACTCTTATAAAATTCAATTAATTTAGAAATATTCAGTAAATAATTTATATGTAATAATTTTCTGATAGTTCTTCAAGAATTAAGTTAATTGTTTTTAAAGTTTTTAAAAACGAAAACTCAAAAAGTAATTTTTTTCAAGTTAAATTCAATTTTAAGTTGTATGTGCGTAAATTAAGAAAATGTTACTTAACAATTGTTACTTAAAAGAAAATTACTAATAAATAACAGAAATTTAAAGTCAAAATGAAATGACTCAGGAAAAATTACCCGTAAACGATCTTTTGGCCATTGACTAGTTCCTTGTTGAATTGTTGCTAAAACTTCATTGACACCAATTTGCGACTGATCATTTTGCTCCAATTTATAGGAGAAAAAATTGATTACCTAAAAGAATATTGATTTGAAAATAAAATCGTAATAATTCGAAGCAAATGGATATGCCAAAAAAAAATAAAAAAGAATAAAAAATAAAATTATTAATTAATAACATTAATAAATCCAATTTAGTAAAAAATCGAATTCAATTAAAATTAACATACCGATTCTATATTTTGGACAATATCCTGAAATGCAGAATGCATCGTAAAAGGTTGAAAAACTTCCCGCTTGTATAAAAGTGTATAGACAAGATTTGGATTTTCAGGCAATTGATGAGTTAGACAACTGTTTATTATTTCTAAGACCATTCGCAGCACCTCCTCCAAAATCGTGAGATCCTGGATCTGAAACAATATTTTTTAAACTCAGGTTAAAATTGTAATTTCCCGATATTTTAATTTTCTTCTCTTAATTGTTTTTTTTATTCTTCTATTTTTTAAAAATTTAATTAGGCGCTAATGATAAGTGGAATATTTTCAAAATCTCCTTACCAAGTCTGCATTCATGACGCCTCCATTGCCATTGTCTTGATCAGTTGAATTCGACGGCGGTTGATTGCGTATTTTTGCTTCCAATTTCACATGTTTCTTCGCCAGTGTCTCGAATAAACTGACAAGTCTTTGACTCACGTAAGGATGTAAATTTCTAAATTGACTCGACATATTCGCCAAAGCCGCCAAGCAATTCGTGTGTAAATATTTATCCTGACCGTAAAGAAAATTACAATTAACTAAATTAATAAAGAAAAAACGTGACGAAAGTTTTTACATTATAATAAATAAATCAATTAATTAAATTACAATTTTGTTTAATAATTCGAAATTTGACGAAAGTCTTTTCATTGTAATAAATAAATAAATAGATTAAATAATTTATTAAATTGAAAAATTAATTAAATTATAATCATGTTTAATAATTGAAAATAAGACAAAAACCTTTTCCGGCATTGCAATCAATGAATAAATAAATAAATTAATTCAATAGTAAAACTAATGAAATTACAATTTTGTTTAATAATTGAAAATCTGACAAAAATTTTTCCATTGTTCAAAGAAAGAGAAAAGAAAACTTACCCGCATTTTTAGCATATTATACTGAATTGTCCTAATTACTACGAGAATTAACAGTCCACCCAGAGAAATTTCACTTATCGATCTCTCCGTATACCACGTTATTCCTTTTAACGTCTGCAAAATTCAATTAGAATAAAATTAAGCGTTTCCATGTTTTAAAACCTCAATTGTCATCCTTTTCAGAATGAATTTTAAAAACTTTTGAATTGAATTTTATTTCGAATTTAACTTTGTTGAAAAAAAATGAGTGAATTGAGAATCTACTTTATAATTTCATGGAAAATAATACTCACGATCTCGTGGACTCTTTTATTAAATAATTCGTCCTCGCTTAAGATTAAAAGAATAATGAGAGACATGTAAATGTGATGTGACGTATTGTCTGGAGCGTTGTACAAAATTCGTAGAATTGGTATTACCTATTGAAAAAGAAAGAAAAAATTATCCATTTGTAATTTTTCTACTCAGTTCAAAAGAATGATTTTTCAAAAGATTTCAAATTTAAATTCGATTTTAAAAACAAGGAAACTGGATACAATTTCCTGTAGCGAATTTTTTTTAATATTAATTCAAAATAATGAAGTAAATATCATTTTGACGAGAAACGGTGAACTTTGCAGATGAATAAACTCACCAATAATTGAATATCATCTCGTTTCATGATATATTGCTTAATATTTGGATTTCTGTATAAAAGCATGTATAAAAGTAGAGTCACCTCATCCGTATTTGTTATTTTACAAATAGTATTATACAATTTATCGAAATTAAATCTAAATGAAGGAATCACTTTTGATTGCGCTGCAGAATTATCATCTGAAAATTTGGGGAAAATATTGTCAAAAATTTTGTAGAAGAAAATTATTTTTTCTAAAATTTTAGAAATTGTGAAAAGATTGTCAAAATATTGAAGAAATTGTAGAAATATCAAAAAGGAAATGCAATGTCAAACATATTTTCATATAATGAATTTAGAAATACAGTCACCTGGAACATCCGTAAAGGAAAATAATGCATCTCTATAAGGATTATGGGAAGTCGTCCAGTGATTTGTCAATACCAATAACAATAATAATGATTGACTAGCTAATGGGGTTTCAGTGTCTCTTTTTCGTTCAATTTCCTCGTTTGCGCCTCCACTACTGATTTGTATATTTTTTCGACTATTTCCTATTCCCAGAGTTATCACATTCCATAATCCTGCTGTAAAAATTGAAATTATTAGTAATAAATATTAACAAGTATTCAATAATTAAATAACTATAATATTAATAAATATTCCTGTTGTCTGCTCACAGCTTAGTTCGCTTTTATTTGCTTTTTTGTAACCTAATTTATTTTTTCTTGACATTTTTTCTTTTTAAATGTTTTGAATTTTAAAATTACATACTAAAATTCTAATTTAATGTTTTTGAAGATTAAATAATAACAAAAATTAATTCAACACAATTTTTTTTTGAATTAAAAAGCATAATAATTTAATTTGTAAATTTAATTTCATATTCTAACTTATAAATTACTGTAGAAAAACTCATTTTTATGAATGTAAAATACGGTTCATATTATTTATTTTATAATAAAAGATTTTATTTTTAGTGTCTTGTTCTAAATATAGAATTAAAAAATTAATTTTTAGAAATTTTATATCAATTTTGTTCAAATTAGTTCAAATTTTTTGCTAATTCAGATTTAGAGATAATACTTTTACAAGAAAAATTTAGAAATTATTTTATTTTCCATAATATTACGTTAGTACCTGAGTGAATTTTTTTTTTAATTTTAAAAGAGAACATCGACGTTAAAAAAATATTTTAGTTTTTGTAAATTCTTTCAAGGAATTTGAATATAATCCATTTGAAATTAAATGAATTCTTTCAAAGAATTTTAATAAACTTTAATAAATTAAAATTGTAATAAAAAAATATTTACAGTCCTTCGAACAATTTTATTACTTATAAAAATAATTGAATTCTTGCTAATACTTTTATTATAATTTCTTGTAAATAATTCAATTTCTTCATTGAATTTTATTATAATTTTTGAAAATTGTAATTAAATTGTTTCAAGAAGGAATTCAATTATTTTAAGAAATTTAATTAAAATTTGTATTAAAATATTTATTTAATTCCAACAAAAATTTTTTATTAAAATTGTATTAAAAATAATTGAATTCTCCGCAATAAACTTATTATTTATGTAAATAATTTAATATTTTGGAGGAATGTAGATAAAATTGTACTAAAAAGTATTTGAATTCTAATTATAACTTTTTGAAGGAATTTTATTAAAAACATTTGAAAATAATTAAATTTTTTAAAGAAATTTAGCTAAAATTCTACTGAAATTTATTTGAATTCTTCTAAAGGATTTTCTCGAAGATTTTCGAAAATAATTGAATTCCAACAAGAGAATTTATTTAAATTATATTGAAAATATTTGAATTTTAGCGAAGAACTTTTTTATTTATGCAAATAATAAAATTGAAAATAATAAATTTTGTTAAAATACAAATTCAATTTTTGTTTTGAAGAAAATTTAAATTTTGTCGAGGAATTTAATTAAAATTTATGGGAAAAATTCAATTGTTTTAAACTTTTGAAAATAATTAAATTTTTTCAAGGAATTCAGTAGAAATTAAACTGAAATTTATTTGAATTCTTCTAAAGAATTTTATCAAAATCTTCAAAAATCATCGATTTCCAAAAAGAAAATTTATTAAAATTGTATTGAAAATAATAATTGAATTCCTGCGAAGAAATTTATTATTTATGAAAATAATATAAAATTTGTAAAAACATAAATTCATTTTTTTTGTTTTAAAGAAAGTTTAAATTCTTTCGAGGAATTTTATTAAAATTGTACTGAAAATAATTGAATTCTTCTAAAGAATTTTATCTAAATTTGTAAAAAAATAATTGAATTCCATCAAGAAATTTTATTAAAATTGTAATGAAAATAATTGAATTCGCCTGAAGAATATTATCATTTATGAAAATAATTGAATTCGTTTAAAGAATTTGATTAAAACTTTTAAAAATAATCAAATTGATTTTAGAAATCTCAATAAAATTTTATTAAAAGTATTTGTTTTTTTTTGCAAAGAATTTTATTATTTATGAAAATTATTGAATTTCTCAGAAGAATTTTATTAAAATTTTTGAAAATAATAAATAATCATAATTAGCAGTTAATAAGTAAAAATTGTATAATTTTCTTGAAAATTTACCGGCAATGCTTAAGACGAGACTGCTACCATGCGGCTGGGTAAGTAATCCAGGTGGTGCATGCTCTTGTTGAGTAAAATTATTTAATAACGTGCAAACGATAATTGGAGCAAATGCACTCTGCTCCTGGTGCATAATGATTCGATAACAAATACTGTATTCCGCCGATGTTTGTGAGAATAATTGCACCGATAACAGTACGAGCAGACAATTTATTGCTTCCAAATGAACCAAATAGGTAAGATCACTGTAATAACAAAAAATACAGTTAATAACATATTTTATCTTTTATAATTTGAATATTTTCAAAGAATATGATTTGAATTCGATTATTTCTAAAAAAAATATGGTTGGATTTGAATATTTTGAAAAATATGGTTTAAATTTGAATATTTCCAAAGAATATGGCTTGGATTCGAATATTTTGAAAGAATATGGTTTGATTTCGAATATTTTCAAAGAATATGGTTTGAATTAGAATATTTCGAAAGAATGCAGTTTGAATTCGAATATTTTGAAAATATTCTCCTTATAAATATTTAGAATCCGTAATAAAAAAAATTTGTAATCAAGGGGAACATTAACTTTAAGGGAACATTGACAATAACGTCTTTCAGAGCTTCGAAAAAAGACTGTAGTCTAATAGGCATTGCTTCCTGCATTTCTGAAGGTGTAGCTTGCACTTCCGTGTGCTGCACCATTTCCGTTTCTCCTATTGTTTCGATAAAGTACTTCAAAATACATCGAATCGCAAACAAGGAGTTGTACGTTTGCCACGTGTACACAATACTGCAAAAAAAAGTTTATTATTATTGAACCAAATCTTCAGAAAATTATATTGCAAATTCTGAATTAAAAATCCATAGATCTTGTTTTACTTTTCGGACTGTTTCGATAGAAGTAATTCGGCCATCCTCGAAAGTGCGACTTCAATAAGAGAACCTACATTTCCAGTCGTATGATTATTGACCAACAATTTTTGACATGTTGTATCTAATCGAGAGTCCAGTTCAATTTGATCGGTTCTCGTCAAAGGCGGTCTTATATTGAACGATAAAAATCTATTCCAAAATATATCAGTCGGTGGTATTGGCTCCTTACTACAAAAACGTTCCAAATACGAGTTTTTTGATAAATCATCGTGTCGACTGGGAGTTGCACCCATTTTTTATTATTTTCCAATATTTTCCTACAGGGAAATAATTTTATTAATGATAAGATTAAATTCATGCATATATGTATCATTTCAGCATGTGGCAAACAAAAGTATATTCAAAAGACATTAATAAATAATGGTAATAATTTTTTTTATAATTTTAATTACTGTAATTTAATTACCGTAATATTATAAAATTAAAAACAGTTCAGCTATAAAAGAAAAGTATTAAACTATATATATTGATAGGAAATTTTTAAAAAATTACTTAACCTCAATAGATAAGCAAAGAAGAGAATTACTTTTTTTTATAAAAATTTTCTTACTTTTGCGAATTGATATTTAGATGTTTTGTTAATAAGGATTAATTCAGTCCTATAAAATTTCTAAATTAGTACACGTCAATGCATCTGTCATAACTGTCAGTAGACGTGACAGGGTCGACTTATTTTTGCACTAAATTCTTTTTTGCACATGTTCGGAAATTCAGTTCTGTTAAAAATCCATCACTAACTTTGTTGATATTCTATTTTTTCAGTAGATATTGTCTATTTTCTATTAAATTAACTGTGACAATGGGAAACTTTTTTTTTTGTGCGGATAACCTACAAATTTTTATAAATTTTCTAATGAAATAAAATCCGCCGATGACAGCGCGTCAAAGGACAATATATTTTATTTACAATCAGGAACGTGACTATCAGACAGGCGCAAATAGGCGGAGGATCAAAAAGAAAATCTCAATAAATACTATAATTTTATATTTCCATAATAGTAAATACATATTTTATAATTTCCAAATTTTCTGTCTTAGGGAATCTAAATTTAACTAATTTTCATATTTGTAATTGATAATAATCTTAATTTAAAAGTTGGTTTATTGTGCAGGGCGCTAAGTCATTTTGTGCCGTTCCTGAAACTTGCGCTGGTGGCGCCACTGTCGCTTAGACTCATTTCATTGAAGTTGATTGCAATTTGCGCTACAAGTTTTCGAAGTTTTTAAAGAATTTTATTAATATTTACTGCAAAAAGTTGCAGTGTAACAAAAGTAATAGTTTATTGCGTATATTAGGTATATTAGTCGATAAATATTGATAAACCCAAACACATGTTGTTATACGTTGAATATTCAACATGTATCCCCAAGTCTTGAAAATTACAAAATTTTTTCGAATTTTTTACAAAATTTATTGACTTTTCATAAAAGAGGGTTCTATTTAAATATACGGGGGTATTTAAATCAAAAATTTATAAAAAAAAGTTTCGCTACTTGTTTACTTTGCTCTTTATTTGTTAAACAAAAAAATTTTTTTGAGGTTAGGTTGCCCTCCCGGGAAAATTTGCCTTAGAAATAAAAAACAACTTGAAACTTAAGTACTTTAATTTCGTGACTACAAGAATAAAAGTAATTTTGATATAAAAATTAACATATAACTGCTTAAAATAACAATTTTTATTCATATAATTAAACAATAATTAATTTTTTCGTTTTTCTATTTTTAAATTCAACGTCGGTTTGCTGCGTATTTTTTTTGTTTTGGCAACACTGCTTTGTAAGCTCCATGAAGTTAAAAGAGGGTCATCAGCAGAAAACGAATGTGGCTTTTTGGATAGAGATCGGCACAACCCTTTTGACAGTGATAATTTTTTTTGATTAAAAAAAGTGTGGTGACAGTGTTAATTTACGAAATATTCATCGATTCTGTGAAAGGCTATTAAGCATCGAGTGTGTCATTAAAGTGCCGGCTTGTTTTCACTTGTAAATTCTTTGGAGCTTTGAACATGGGAAATATCTACACTTGCGGACCAAATGAAGCGCTTGTAGTATCAGGTAAAAAAACTTTGTAAACAAATGTTTTCTATTAGATTTATCACAAGAGTATTTAATTATATTTCAATTCTCATGGATTTAAGTGTCTTGAAAACTTAATCCATTTGTTTTCGTTAGAGACACGGCAAATACAAGAGATTTTGAGGTTACTATTTTATGTCAGATATAGTATAAACTGACTTTTCTAGGAATTATACACATTCGTCTCATTTTGTTTTTCTTGCGTAATATTATTTTTGAGTAGAATTAGGTTTTTTGTTTTTTAATCCTCGTGATAGTTATTATTTCTAGAAAATAGAGTCCACCCTTTTGAGGTTAAGGACACTATTACTTTAGGGGGTGAAAAGTGAAATTTACTTTTCGAGACTTTCGATGTTTTTATTGATTGTTTTTTTTAAAAACAAACGCTTTTTTTATGTGAGAGAAAAATTTTTATTTTGTGTAAGAAAAAGTTTTTTCGGAGAATAACGTAAAAGTGTTGATTTTACTGATTTGGTGAATAGATGGAAAAATTTAAATTGTTAAGTAAACTGAAAATATTGTTGGTAGTTTATTTTTCAATGCACATTGTCTAGGTAAACAAATATCTCAGTTCGCTTGTTTCAACAATTTAAAATGTTTTACTACTTTTCATTCAGAAATCTATTATTGAAAAACCACTTTTTTTAGTTACGTTGACAGTTGTATTATATGCATAGGTCACAATGTTTTATTTTTTTAACTTCATTGATAAGCGGATATGAATCACACATTCTAGACATGATTCATAAAAACTTATATTGACAATTCTAAATTTACGTAATGAATAATAGTTTCTAATTATTGTTTTAAATATTTTCGAAAGATTAGAATGTGAAACATTAAGTGATGAACAATATTAAATTGATTGTGAGTGATCGAGAGAGAGAATTAAGAGATAATTATACTGTTTGCATTGATGATAATATATAAATCAAACGTGATTGCGTAAATTTTACACATGGTACTAGCAATCACGATTCGTCGTATATTTTCAATTTAAAAAACCAAAATACATTTTTTTTCCTTATTTTTCGAGAATATTTGGGTCTTGTTTTATCGTTTTAATATTTGACATTTGCCCTGAATGTAAAATAATATTTTTTTCTCTACTCGGACGTTGTTTTTTTTCCAGTTTTTTTAGTTTTAATTCGTTTACTTTTTTCTAAAGATAATATTTTTTTCCTTCATTATTTTGAACTTTTTTTCATTATTCAATTTTTGATAAAAAATTTACTACAATTTTGAATGTTTCCTACAGTCAGAAAAGTCTTCATAGTTTATTAGTCAGGTGTAAATGTTATCTGTCAGAAATTCTTTTAAATAATTAATTCTTGTACAGATGGTTGTGTGTTATTTCAGACAATAATGCATAGAGAATGAACTGGAAAAACCCAAGGCCAGATGGTTTTATTTCTCTTTAGAATTAGAATTTTAGTTACTTTTTTACGTGAATGAATAATGTTTGGAAAATAGAAACGTTTTTTATTTAGAAAACAATAATATTTAAAGTTTAGAAAGTTTATTTTTTCCCGTGTTGATCAAGAAACAGTAAACAAAATTTTGTATGACAAAAAAAAAATTCAGGGACTTTTTTCCTAACAAAAATAACATTTTCCAAAAAATACCTTTGTTATTTCAATAAATTAATTTTTTAATTTGACCTTATAAAGTGACTACCGTAATTATGTCACATAATTGAACATTTAATCTTCTGATAAAGTTCAATTAACGTAACTAAAAAAAGTTGTTTATCAATAGTAATTATTTATTAGTTTTTTAAAATAAGCCGAGATATTAAAATAAGCTAAGATATTAAAATAAGTCAAGGCATTAAAATAATTTTTTTTCGTCGCATTATTCCCTTTGGAATTATTTAAATGACATCATACATCGTATATATGACGTAGTTTAGGTATAAAAATAGATTAAGAAAAACGTCAAAATTGGGCTTTTGAAAATATTTTTATTAAAAAAGTAAAAAACAGACAAATTTTACTTATATAAAAACAATAAATTATCTTCAATCTTAACAATTTTTTTTGCGCTTAAATACTAGGTGTTGAATATTTACAAATTAAAATCGATTCTCTTAGAAATAGAGCAACTAGCGAAATTATAATAATGAGAAAGGAAAAATAAACATTTCCCGCATATTGATTAATATGATGTTTATAAAAATAACTGCGAAATTGATTAAAGAAAAATGTTGATAGAAATGTTCTTTTTAACATTTCTATCATTTCTATCATTATTAACAATTTTTGTCCTTGGAAGAAAAAATTATTAATATTAAAGAAAAATTGACTGAATCAATGAAATTTCCACTGATACGTTAGTAAAGTTTACAACAATTATAAATTAAATGATTTTGAAGGAAAAATATTTTTTCTATTTAACTTTTTTTTGTTTAAATACCTAGAACTATTTTTTCTTATGCTTTTGCAAAAAAGAACAAATTTGCAAACAAATAATTTTATTGCTTTCCATACGAAAATATTTTTTCTTTTAATCGTTGATAGTAAATATTTCTAATTTGAAATTATTTTGGATTTCTATTAGTTTGAATTGAATATTTAATTGTTGAAAGATTTTCTCGTCAAAATTTCATTTATCTCTATAAATAAAAAAATTCTTTTCCAAAATTCAATTATTTTCAAAAATATTATAAAAATTCTCGACAAAAATTCAATTATTTTTATAAATAACAAAATTCTTCTACGAAATCCAATCATTTAAAAAAATTTGTATAAAATTCTTGGCAAAATTTCAATTATTTTCAAAAATGTTTCTCAATTTAATGATTTTCAATAAAATTTTCTGAAAAAATTCAATTATTTAAAACAAATTTTAATAAAATTCTACTCAAACTTTTAATTATTTTTATAAATAATAAAAATTTCACAGGAATTCAATAATTGTTTGCAAATTTTTTTTATAAATTTCTTCGCAATAATTATATTATTTTCGATAAATAATAAAATTATTTTTAGTAATTCAATTCTTTTCATAAATAATAAAATTCATAGCAGAATTTCAATTATTTTTAATACAATTTTATTCGAATTCCCAAAAAAATGTAATTATTCTTAAAGATTTTATTAAAATTCGTTGAAAGAATTCAATTATTTAAAAATTTATTGAGAAAATTCTTAAAAAGAATTAAATTTTGAGAAGCATTCAATTATTTATTAAATCATTTATTTTTGTATTTAAATAATTGAATTCTCGTAGAATTTTCTAATACAAATTGATTTAAAAATGAATTTTAGTTAAATTTTTAGATAATAATTAAATATTAAAAGCATTTTTGCGTGAATTTTCAGAAGCAATTGAATTTTTAAGAAGTTACAAGTGGTTGCAGAAATTCAATTATTTTCAAAAGTAATAAAATTCTTCGCAAAAGTTCAATTATATTAAAAATTTTTAAAAAATTTTCATCAAAATTTCAATTAATATCTTTATAAATAATAACATTCTTCTCCAAAATTCAATTATTTCAAAAATTTTGATAAAATTCTTTGCAAAATTTCAATTATTTTCAAAAATTGTCCTAAATTCAATGATTTTTAATATCTACTATTTCATTAAATTTAGCAAAATAATTCAATTATATAAAAAGAAATTTTGATAAAATTCTAAATAAACATTTAATTTTTTTCATAGAGAATAAAAGTTTCACAGAAATTAAATTATTTAAAAATTTGTTCATAAATTTCTTTTGCATAATTCAATTATTTTCATAAATAATGAACATCACACAATTTCAATTATTTTTAAAATAATTTTAATCGAATCCCTCATAAAATGTAATCAATTAATTCATTTTTTAATTAATTTTTATTAGAAAATCATCCTAGAATTCAATTATTTAAATATAAAAATCAATAATATTAATAATTTATTGAAATCTTAAAATTCAATTGTCAAGAAGAATTTCATTAAGAAATTTTTAAATAATTGCATTCTTTCAACAAATGTTAATAAAATTTTTGAGCATAATTACATTTTATGAGGGATTCGATAAATGTATTTTAAAAATAATTGAAATTGTGCGATGAGTTTTATTATTTATGAAAATAATTGTATTATGGAGAAGAAATTTATGAAAATTTTTTTAAATAATTGAATTCCTGTTTTATTCTCTATGAAAGTAATTCAATGTTTGTTTAGAATTTTTTAAAATTTGTTTTAAATAATTAAATTCTTTTGGAAAATTTTATTAAAATATTAGAATTTTAATACTTAAAATATTATTATTTTTAATAAAATATTAAAATATTATTATTATTATTATTAATTTTATTAGAAAAAACTAATTCTATACAGAATTATTCCGTATAGAATTAGTTTTTTTTAAAGTTTAATTGTAGAATTTCCGAATAATAATTCCGTAAAATTTAATTGTAAAACAAATGGATTTTAAAATTCTCAAGGAATTTTTTCAAAACTTATCAAAAATAATTGATTTAAAGAAGAAGTTTAGTTAAAAATTGTAGAAAATAAATAATTGAATTAAAAAGATGAAAATAATTTTGAGAGAGTTATAGTTCACGGAGAAAAATATAAAGTAACTTTTACTACTTTTGTATAGTAAAAAATTTCCGGTAATTTTTACTACTTTTGGAGTAAATGTTGCTACGTTCGAAGTAAATTTTACTAATTTTTACAAAATATGTACTTCGAACGTAGCAAAATTTACTCCAAAAGTAGTAAAAATTAACAGAAATGCATTACTGGCAATTTTTTACTGTAAAAGTAGTAAAAGTTACTTTATATTTTTCTCCGTGTAACAATATTCTTATAATAAAAAAAAAAAAAAAGATTTTATCACTTGATCATCTTTAATTATTATAAAACAAGAAGTCGAAACATTTATGAAATTCAAAAACTTAAAAGAATATTATTATAAAACATGAAAAGATATCCACCACTCCGAGTCTAAGACTCGGTCGATATCTTTATGTTTTATAATAATATTCTTTTAAGTTTTTGAATTTCAAAAATGTTTAAGTATCTAATTTTGAGGGTGAGTCAGAATATTCTTTAGGGTCAGGGAAAGAGTTAAAACCCTGTAATCTTGATCATAAAGATTGTGAACCTCACCCACGTTTCAAACTTGAAAAGCTTGAGTGAAAGTTTTATTTTTTTTTTCAAAAAAATAGCTTTTGCCTCGGTCAACAAAAGCGACTCTAGTAGTAATATTTTTCCGTGTGTTTATTCGTCGTTGTTGTGGTAGTCGTTGTCGTCCATGTTTGTTTGATCATATCGGCGCCCTTCTCCCCTACCATGAAAATGCCGGCGTTTATGTGCCCGGTGGTCATGGCAGGCATGACCGAGGCATCAACCACCCTCAGTCTCTCGACACCATGCACTCGAAGTTGTGGATCAACAACGGCATTTGGATCATTTTTTGTGCCCATTCTCACCGTTCCCAATTCATGATTCATCATCGATGGCAAATGCCTGATGGCGCATCGCCAATAATTGTCGCTTCCAAATTCAAAATCATCGCAGCCCGGTATTTTAATGTCGTGTATGCGTGCTCCGTAACGCTGAAAGGGTTGGGTCTTTGAAATATTAATAGCGTGCTTCAAGCCCTCGAGGATAATTTCCACGTCGGCTGGATGAGTGAAGAAATTCGTTTCAAGCAGAGGCGCTTGAAGGGGATTTTTTGACTTGAGCTTGAGTCGTCCCACACTGTAGGGATTTTGAACTATTGGCCATATTGAGAAGGCGTCTTTGTTTTCAATTGGCTTGAACACGGTGTTGTAGAGTTCGTCGGTTATTCCGAGACCACGTCGTAAAAATAAACCACCATCCGAATGTAATGATCCTGAGGCGAATAGAAGTTCGACATCGGGTCGTGAATCTTGGGCGTATTTTGTTTTTATGAATGCTAAGGCTTCTGCACCTCCTGGTATTGAGATTGGTCCCTTTCGATTTGCGATGTATTGAAACACAGTCGATGGTCTATTTTTGGAAAAAGAAAAAAGTTAAACCACGTCTAATTTCAAAAAAAAGTATTGAATTGTTTATTAGTGACACCGAATACATCTACTAAAATCTACTATTTACTACTTTTTTACGTTGTAACGTAAAAAACTATTTACTATTTACTACTTTTCTACGCTGTAACGTAAAAAAAGTAGTAAATAATAAATAAATAAATAGTAAATAGTAGGTTTTAGTAATTACTATTTGGGTATATTTTTTTTAGATTTCAGCCACAAAAAGCTACTGTTTCTAGTTTTTTTTAGAATTTCCACTACTTTCAATTCGCTAATACTAGAAATTAAAAAACTAGGTAAAAACTATTCTCAAAAATTATAATCGAATTCTTTAAAACGATTCAATTATTTTCAAAAAATATTCGAAATTCAATTATTTTCAATATCTAGTATTTTCATCAAATTTCGCAAAATAATTCAATTATTAAAAAAAAAATTGAGAAAATTCATCCAAAATTCAATTATTTTCATAAATAATAAAACTTCTACAGGAATTCAATTAATTTAGAATAGCATTTTTAAAGGAATTTCGAGCAAATTAATTATTTAACAAAATTTGTATTCAATTCTTCACAATAATTCAATTATACTTTCACTAATAACATTTTTCATGGAAATTCTATTATTTTAAAGTTTTACATAAAATTCTAAACAAGAATTGAATTATTTTCAAAAAAAAAAATAAAACTCAGAAGAATCTTAATTATTTTAAATACTATTTTAAATTAATTAATCGAAAAATTCAATTATTTTCACAAATAAAGTTTTTAACAATAATTAAATTTAAAATTAATTATTTAAAACAATGTTTATAAAATTCTTATGAAGAATTCAATTATTTTCAAAAACAAGACCTTCTCATTTCTTCTGAGAAGGTAATAACAAAATTTTTCACAGAAATTCAATTCTTTTTAAACATTTTAGTGAAATTTTTCGCAATAATTCAATTATTTTCATAAATAATAAAATTCTTCTTAGGATATTAATTATTTTTGAAAATTATAATAAAATTCTATGCATCTATTCAATTATTTTCATAAATAATAAAATTCATCCAAAGATTTCAATTATTTTTAATACAAGTTTACAAGAATTGCTCAAAAAATGTAATTAATATTCTTTAAAATTTAATTTCAATTCCTTAAAAAAATCAATTATTAAAAAAACATTTTTTTAATTCTTTGGCAGAATTTAATTATACACAAAAATATTAGAATTTTCCACTGGAATTCAATTATTTTCAAATGTTGTAATAAAATTGTTCGAAAGAAATCAATTATTTTAAATATAATTTTAATTAAAATTTTTTTAAAACAATTCAATTATTCTCTTAGATTTTAATAAATTTCTTCCCAAGAATTTTATTATTTACAAAAATTATTCTTCAAAAGAATTTAATTATGTCGATAAATAACAAAATTATTCCCAATAATTCAATTATTTTAAGAATTTTAATAAAAAATTTTTTGCAAAATTCAATTATTTTCATAAATAATAAGGTGCTTTTTAGGAATTCAATTCGTTTCAAGAAAATTCAATAAATTATCACACAGACATTCAATTATTGTCAAAAATTTTAATAGAATTCTTTGTAAAATTTTATTATTTTTAAAAACTTTTCGCAAATTGGATGATTTTTAATATCTACTATTTTCATAAAATTTCCAAACAAAATTTAATTGTTTAAAAAAATTTTTGTAAAAATCTTCGTAAGAATTCAATTCTTTTCATGTATACTAAAAATTTCTCAGGAATTCAATTATTTTTAAAAATTATAGTTAAATTCTTTGTAACTATTCAATTATTTTCATAAATAATTCTTCGAAAGAATTCAATTATGTCGATAAATAACAAAATTATTCTCGAAAATTAAATTATTTTGAGGCATTTTAATCAAATTTTTTGCAAAATTCAATTATTTTCATAAATAACAATATTCATCACTAGAATTCAATTACTTTTAAAAATAATAAATTTGTTCTTCGAAATTCAATTATTAAAAATTGAATATTTTTGAATTAATTTTTGTTTTTGATTTTTTAAAACATCTTTTATTTAATTATTAAAAATGTAATAAAATATCACACAAACATTCAATTTTCATAAATAATAAATTGTTTTTTAGGAATTCAATTATTTTTATAAATAATAAAATTCATCGTTGGATTTCAATTATTTTTAATACAATTTTACAGGAATGTAAAAAATGTTCTTTTAAAATTCTTTAAAGGAATTCAATTATTTACAAAAATATTAGAATTTTTCAGAGGAATTCAATTATTTTCAAATATTTTAATAAAATTGTTCAAAAGCAATCAATTCTTTTAAATAAAATTTTAATTAAATTTTTTTGAAATAATTCAATTATTTTTTTAGATTTTAATAAAATTCTTCCCAAGAATTCAATTATTTATATAAATAATTCTTCGATAGAATTCAAGTATGTCGATAAATAACAAAATTATTCCCGAAAATTTAATTATTTTGAGGCTTTTTAATAAAATTCTTTGCAAAATTTAATTATTTTCATAAATAAAAATTTTCATCACAAGGATTCAATTATTTTTATATAAGTAATAAATTTCTTCTTGGAAATTCAATTATTTTGAAAATAATTTAATAAAATACCTCACAGACATTGAATTATTGTCAAAAATATTAATAGAATTCTTTGTAAAATTTAATTATTTTTAAAAACTTTTCGCAATTCAGTGATTTTCAATATCTACTATTTTTATAAAATTTTTAAACAGAATTCAATTGTTTAAAAAAATCTTTGTAAAAATCTTTGTAAGAATTCAATTCTTTTCATGAATAATAAAAATTTCCCAGGAATTTAATTATTTAAATTAGAATTTGCATAAAATTAGTCGATAGAAATGAATTATTTAAAATTTTTTTTAGGAAAAAGTCGGGAAAATAAAATATAGAATGGAATTTTCGTCAGTTTTTTGAAATGTCTAAAACTGGTTTTTTTGATTGTGAAGTTTTGATACCTACTTTTTTACTACTTTTATTAGTTTGAAAGCTACTTTTTGCTACTTTTTCAAAATTAATTATCGAGTGCAAAGTCTGAGAATAGAGAAAAAATAGTTCGATTCGCCGGAAAAGTCCCAAATTATTGATTTTGTTGATCATAAACGATGTTAACTTTACCAAAGCTACAAAAAAGGAGAAAAATTCATAACAAACCTGGAAATTTTACTCTGGAGCAGCGTGACACTCTGATTGACCATGAAAGTAAGTCCCAAAAAACCAACATGCTCGTACATGTTGTAACCTACTTTTGAGTCCTTAATCACTGGGATTCCGAGTTCTTCTAAATGATCCTTTGGTCCAATTCCCGAAAGCATTAATAATTTGGCCGAATCTATTGTGCCGGCAGAGAGGACAACTTCCTTTGTGCAAAGTACACGTTGCTTTTTTGAATTCTTGACAAACTCAACACCATAGGCTTGATTATTTTTATTAATTAAGACCTTTGTCACTCTTGTGCCGGTCATTATCTCTAAATTTGGCCTATCGACTTTCAAATAAGCTGTGGCTGCACTACATCTCGAGCCATGATCCATATTCACTTGAATATAGGAGAATCCAATTTGATCCGCTCCATTTGGATCGTTGATCCTGTATCCTAACTGCTTTCCGGCTTTCAGGAAAGCAGTTGCTAATTCCGAATGATATGGCACATGTTCCACGTTTAGATAACCGTCGGTTCCGTGATAGGTTGAATTCTCGATTCCTGTAATGAATGTAAGTTGTCGTTTTATTAGTACTGCAAAAGAAATAAAAAGAATTTCTCTCTTTTGAACATTGAGAAATAAGAATTTTATAGAGCTACTTGTAAACATATAAACATTCTTCGACATAAAATTCGACTCAACTGTGAAATTTGAAAAAAAAAAGTAAGTCGGCAATGTTCCATTTTTAAAATTTCTCTCAATGAAGCCGATTATTACCATAACGAAATATTCGAGCGAATATTTGTTGAGCGAAATTCACTTTCTTATAAATTACAAAATTACACTTTAGAATAGAGTAATTATTGCAGTTGCTCTTGAATTTCACTGAGCGCCTTTTTTCGAACATAATCACAACGGACAGAGCAGTAATTACTGTGGAATGCATAATTTAACTCCTTGTCACTTTTCACTTTCAAAGAAATCTCATCGTAAAAAACATTATTAATTTATTCTTTTATGCTTATCTTTAGCAAGTGACTAATTTATATCAATTAATAGTGATTGTCTGTAAATTAATATTTTTCTATTATTTAATTTAATTATTCAACTCGAGAATATAATACGTATACATTGTAGTAATTGGAAAATGATACATGAACCTCCTAAAGTAATTAGAAAAATAAAATTCAAACAAATAAATTTTCTGCTCTTTCTTACATCACCTAATGAATAGTTTCATAGTGACAGAAATGGAACAATAAACTTGTAGCCGCGCCCCTTGAATTAAGAAAATATAGTTAATTAATCGATCCCTTTTGGTTTGACTTTCATCAGCACGTTATATTTTCATTCAAAGGTATAAAAGTACTTACTATTGGAAAAAAATTTTAATTTAGTTATGACTTTTTCAAACATGAAATATCACTTCTTTATTTGTCGAAACAAGTAATTAATTAATTTTTTCGACAAATAAAGAATGTCTTGGCCATTATACTCAAAAAATGTTCTATTACATTTATTTAAAAATTTCTTTAATTGACCAATTATTCAAAAACACCAATAACTTCATTTTTAAATAAATATTTATTATTATTTTTCCGTAGGAATTAAAATTTTTTTAAACATTCAAATTTAAATTTTCTTGAAATTTAACGACTTGGAAGAATATTTTTATAAAACATGAAGAAATCGACTACTCCGAGTCTTCGACTTGGAGTGATCGCTTTCTTCATGTTTTATAATAATTACAAATAACCGAGTGATTAAATTATTATTTTATATTATAAAAATATTGATACTACCTCGAAATTATTTTCATCATTTAAATTCAATTATTACTATTTTTTAGAATTTTTAACTAAAATTCTTTATTAAATCAATATTATTATCAATATTATTTTTAATAATTTTTGATAAAGTTATTTGGAGAATTTGAAAATTTATTTGCTTACAATTCAATTTCACGAAATTTCAATTATTGTGAAATTCTTCAATTAAATATACATTAAAAAATAAAAACTTGAAATAATTTTAAGAAATTTCGATTAAGCTTTTTGAAAAAAATTATAGTTCCATAGAATTTTTAATTAATTAAAAGTATGAAAAATTCAGATTTTCAAAGATTTTAATTTGAAACCTTTACAAAATTCAATTATTTCTAAAAATTGCAATTATTAGTATCATCTCCAAAATTCAATTATTATCTAAAACTTTAACTAAAATCAATTCTTATTAAAAAATTCTACGAGAATTCAATTATTTAAATACAAAAATACATACTTTATATTGAATCATTGTTTCTTAAAATTGAATCCTTATAAAGAATTTTATCAACAAAATTTATAAATAATTGAATTCCTTCGACGAATTTTAACAAAAATTTTTAAGAATAATTACATTTTTCGAGGAATTTGACTAAAATTGTATTAAAGATAATTGAAATTCTGCAATAAGTTTTATTATTTATGAAAATAATTCAATTTTAGTGAAGAATTTTATAAAAAAGTTTCAAACAATTCATTTTTTTCTAAAAATTGTATGCGTATTATTCTATTTAAAATAATTGAATTCTTGTGGAATTTTTATTTGTTTGAAAAATAATTGAATGTTTGTGGAAAATATTATCAAAATTTTTATTTAATAATTGAATTCTTTTGGAAAATTTGATTAAAATAGTAGAACAATGCAAATCATTGAATTAAGAAAATTTTTTGAAAATAATTGAAATTTTGTCATGAATTTTATTAAAATTTTTGAAAATAATTGAATTCTTGTGATAAATTCTATTATTTATGAAAATAATTAAATTTTGCACAGAATTTTATTAAAATTTTTAAAATTGAATTTTTGAAAAGAATTTTATTAGTTCTAAAAATAATTGGAATTTTTAAAAGAATTTAAAAAAAAATTTTTGATCATAATGTTGACGATAATTTTTTTTTTAGTTTTTTTGAAAATAATTGAATTTCTGTGAAGAATTTTATTAATTTTGAAAATAATTGAATTCTTGTGATAAATATTGTTATTTATATGAAAATAATTGAATTTTAGAATAAATTTTATAAAAATTCCTAAATATAATTGAAATTCGCCGATGAATTTTGCTATTTATTTAAAGATAGTTGAAATGTTGACAATTTTTTTTGATTTTTTTTAATAAATTGAATTTCGGCGAAGAATTTTATTAATTTTGAAAAAAATTGAATTCTTGTGATGAATATATTGTTGTTTATAAAAATAATTGAATTATGAACTGATTTTCATTTAAATTGTTGAAAATAATTGAAATTCAACGAAGAATTTTGCTATTTATAAAGATTAATTAAAATGTTGGCATTTTTTATTAGATTTTTTTGAAAATAATTGAATTTTTGCCAAGAATTTTATTAATTTCGAAAATAATTGAATTGTTGCGACGAATTTTAATAAAAATTTTAAGAATAATTGCATATTTCGAGGAATTCAATTAAAATTGTATGAAAAATAATTTAAATTCTGCGACGAGTTTTATAATTTTTTAAAATAATTTACTTCTTAAACGAATTATATTATTCATGAAAATAATTGAATCTCTGTAAAATTTTTTATTATTTATGAAAATAATTGAATTATTGCAAAAATAATTAAATGTTGACGTAGATTTTTATCAAATTTTTTTTTAAATAATTGAATTCTTGTGGAAAATTTTTTGAAATAGTAGATTTATTGAAAATTATTGAATTGAGGAATATGTTTGAAAATAATTGAAATTTTACAAAGAATTTTATTAAAATTTTTAAAATAAGTAATTGAATTTCCGAAAAGAATTTTATTAGTTTTAAAGATAATTGAAATTTTGAAGAGAATTTTTAAAAATATTTTAACATAATGTTGACGACAATTTTTTTTAGATTTGTTGAAAATAATTGAATTTTTGGGAATATTTTTATTAATTTTGAAAATAATTGAAATTCTCATGATGAATATTGTTATTTATGAAAATAATTGAATTTGACAATGAATTTTATTAAAATTCCGAGGTCTCTGAAGTTGCCATCGATGCTCAACATCGAAATATATTTGTTGCACTAAACCGAAAAAAATTACGTGACTTTTCCCAAGGTTCAAAGTTAAAAAAGTATTTTCAAAATTGTTTTTTCTTCCTAGGTGAATGAAAGTAGTGAAATTAGTTAAAATTTTATCAATAAAAAATAAGAAAAAATATATTTTTGGAAATCAACAGAATTGAAATTAAAATTAAAAAAAAAAAATATTTCATTAAATGATTTATAAGTAAGAACTTTATGACTGTTCTTCAATAGAATTAAGTTATTTCAAATAATTTATTGTTAGACATAGAAAAAATTTAAGGATTTTTCTACAATTCGTGTTAATTTCATAGTTTATTATTAGACAAACAAAAAGACACAAAAATTGAGAATTTTCTTATAAATTCTAAACATTTAATTTTTTCCAGTACTTTTAATAAAAATCCCTGACTTTTCCCTGATTTCCCTGGCTTTTTCCTAATTTTCCTGACTTGTGGCAACCCTGATCAGGACATTTTTTGAAATACTGAAATCTTTGAAATAAAAATAATTGTTTTATTTCTTTTATCTCACCTGGAACTTTAAATTTCTCGCTCTTCTTAAAATATGGCAAAACTTCGTTGTAGGACCAGCCCTCATTTCCCATTCGTGACCATAAATCATAGTCCAATTTGTTTCCTCGTGTGTGAATCATATAATTCAATGTACTTGTGCCGCCAAGAGATTTTCCTCTTGGCCATGGGCATTGCTTATTATTCATGCCCAGGCACGCGCTCTTTTGCGGCTCAACTTTATAGCCCCAATTGTAATCAGTCAATTGAAAATAACTAACTAAAATTGGTATTTGATTGAGTAGGCCCTCCGGATTGCCCGCCTCCAATAAAAGTATTCGCCATTTTTTATTCTCCGACAGTCTATTGGCAATCACAGAGCCACCTGAGCCGGCGCCTACCACAATAAAATCATATTTGCCCGTTACATTCGTCACTATTTTGTTTGCTATTTGCTTCGAGCTGTTGAGCAGGTCAAAAATAGTCTGACCACTTGTGAATGATCCAATCGCGAGTAACGGGATTAAAAATAATTCTGATGGAGAAAGCATCATCGTCTGAAAAGAAACAAATTTAAATAAAAGTTATTTTTATATAAAATGTCAATTTGGGTGCAATATGTGAAAGAAATGATTTTTGAAAGGGAGGTGAAAAAAAACCTGTTTCTGCTCAATGATCCAATAACTTTCAAATGATATAACAGATATATATTTTCCATTATCATGTACTTCTTAATTTAATAAATATTGCGATAAGTTTCCTTATTCCTGGGAGGAAATGCTTTCTTGTGGGGGCCGAAAGTGCTTTCGTTTATTGAAATAAATGTCTCTGAACGTTAATGATTTTATTACTTTTGCTCGCTTTTGCTTTCTTTGATAATCATTTTCTCAAGAGATTTTTTACATTTTCAAGAAATTCTCATTAATACTTCTAAAGTGTAAATTGTTTCTTTATATAAAAAAATATTTTATTTCCTTATTTCACTTTATTCGATTAGTTGAAAAAAATTACAGTCTGTTAATATTTTTTTATAATAATTAATTTATATTTTTGGCAAGTTTATCAACAAAACAAAAATACTTTTCTTTGCAAATTTTTATACATTTTTGAAATTCGAAAGAAATAATTTTTATTTTATCAATTTTTTTTTATGCTTCATTCAAATTTGAATATCATTATAATAAATAATTTTTTATAAATTTAAAAAAGTAATTATATCAAAAAAATAATTTTTTATAAATTTAAAAAGTAATTCTCAAATAAATAATTTTTTATAAATTAAAAAAATTAATTCTCAAAAAAATAATAATAATAATAATAATAATTTCATTTACTTTATGTTTCATTTTTTTACAATAATTTTTTTAAAAAAATATTTAAATTGAAACAAAATTCGTTCATTTGAACGTTCAAAACTTTAGGAAAGAATTATTTTTCTATTATCAAAAAATAAATATTAAATTTCCCTAAAGATTTGAACGTTCTAATATTAATACAATTTTTTGCATTCCAATACTTTAAAGAATTACTCTTATAAATATTAGTAGAATTTACATTTATTTTATTTATTTCTATTTATTAGTAAAATTTACTAACATGAATCAGTGATTTACTTTTCGCTTTTGAATTAGTAAATTTTACTAATAAATAGTAATTTCTACTAATTTATTAGTAAAATTCACTAATTCGGAAGCAAAAATTCTGTCACTACATAATTCAAAAATTTTGAAAATAGTAGACTGAAATAAAAATTATTGTAATTGAACATTCATTTAGTAAAAATTATTATTTTAATTATCAAAAACCGAATTTTCTAATAAAATTCAAATTTATAAAAAGTAATAAAAAATATTATCGTTTATTAGTTGGAAACTTTAGGGACTTAATATTTACTTGAATCAAAAAATGTTTATTTAAATTAAATAAACACCCATAACAAATTTTTGATAACTTGAAGAAATAATTTTTTTTTATTTGTCTCTTCAGTTGAAAATGAATTTTTCTTCGATTGAAAGAAACTTTATTTGATTCAAAAACAATTTATTTGATTCAAAAACAATTTATTTGCTTCAAAGAAAAAATTCCTTTCAAAATTATCTATTATTTTTCTTTCTACTTATTTATTTTTTGACTCTATATCAATGATAAATTTTTTTTGATTTAAAGAACAAATTTCTTGAATTCAAAAAAGAATTTAGTTAAATAATTTTTATTTTTTATTAATTGTTTTATTTTATATTATCTCTATATTTGCGCTCGTATCCGAGGGTTTTTCTCGGGTTTCAGTAAAGCCTTTATTCCCCTGTTGACCCCAATGTAGAGAAAAACATGCATAGTTAGAGAATTCTAAACCCGCCATTAAGTATAATAGATGTTAATCTTTTGTTTTTCATTTCAATCCAATTAATTCTTTCGTGAACAAAAAATAGATAGAAATTACAGAATTATCCATTTTCTCCCGCCAAAAATTATCAGCAGAAGTAAAAATTCAGTTTTAAGTAGTAAACATTAAATTATCTTCATTTATATAATATAAATTAGGTATAAAAAAAATTAAACGAATAGGATGAATTTAATTCATGAAATTTACATATATAAATAAATAAATAAAATGCAGAAAAAAGTAAATATAGTAAAAATTCTCAATTTGTATGAAATAAATTTTTTTGTAAATTTTTATTAATGATAGAAATAAAAAAATATTATTTTATATAATATAATAAAATAAAATAAATTTTTTTGTGAATTTTTATTAACGATGGAAATAAAAATATTATTTTACATGATTTCTTTAAATTGATTTTATTATTTTTTATTTTTTCACTAAAATTTTTATATTGACAAAACGCAATTTATTTATTTATTTATTTGATACTACAATTTTTTCATAACAATAACAATTTATTTATTTTTTTCACTACAATTTTGTCTTGATAATAACAATTTTTTTATTTACTTTTTTACTACAATTTTGTCTTGACAATAGCAACTGATTTATTTATTATTAAATACAACATAAATAATAATTTACCATTGTCGACAATAATAATACTATTATTTGTCGATGAGATATAAATTCTTTTCGAATTCTTCTAAATCATTTCTATTCGCAATTTGTGTTAGTCCAGATTTTAGACTCGTTTAACGACTTGTTATGCATTAATTTTTCCATTCGTTATAGTTACATAAAAAGCAGTTGTGTATAAAAATAAACAAATTCAGGATGTGTATATAATAGCCACGTATAAAATACATTTTCCATTCCATTAGCATCTTGAATAATGGATTTTTGCATAGTCTCAAAAAAGAGAGAAAAAAAATACTATTTACTAATTAACAATTTGTCATAGAATACATTTTTTAATATCCACTTTTAGAGAAAGAGAGAGAGAGAGATCGTTTATAAAATAAAAACTGAAAAGTTTTATGGTTCTGGCAAAATTGAGAATGTTTTTTTTGTTATTTATAACCGTAAAATTTTAGAGAGAATTTTTCATTGAATGAACAACTGCGTAATCAAAAAATCTAATATGAATATATATTTTACAGTAGTAGCACGAGTATAAATAATTTTTCCTGTCGTTGTTCTAAATCAGAATTAGTAAAAAGGTGAGCCATTAATTCACATTTTTGTAAGAATTTTTATTACAATGAAAAAAAAATCGATTTTCAGTATTTCAGTATGTTCAGTATTTATTTTCGGCAATTTCACTGAAAAAAAATTTATTTGATTAAAATTCAGAAAAAAATTGTTGAATTATGAAATAAATGTTTACTTGAATCAAATAATTTTTATTTAAATCAAATAAATTTTATTTATTCCAATATTTTAAGTATTTTTTTTATTCAAGGAAAATTTCTTTGATTGAAATAACTTTAATAACTTTAATGATTTTCAATATCTACTATTTTAATAAAATTTTTCAAAAGAATTCAATTGTTTAAAAAAAATGTTGATAAAATTTTAAGCAAACATTAAATTATTTTCATAAATAATAAAAATTTCGCAGGAATTTAATTATTTACAAATTTTTTATAAATTTCTTCGCAATAATTCAGTTATATTCATAAATAACTTTTTTTACAAAAATTCAATTATTTTCATGAATAATAAAATTCATCATAGAATTTCAATTATTTTTAATGCAATTTAAATCGAATTCCTTAAAAAATTTAATCATTCTTGAAAATTTTATTAAAATTCCTCGAAAAAATTCAATTATGTTGATAAAATTCTTTATGATAATTCAATTTTGAGAAACATTCATTTATTCAGTAAATTATTTATTTTTCTATTTAAATAATTGAATTCTTGTAGAATTTTCCAATAAAAATTGCTTTAAAAATTAATATTAATGAATATATTAAAAGAATTATAGCATGAATTTTTCAAAATAATTGATAAATGAATTCTTTCGAAGAATTTTAATAAAATTTTTGAAAATAATTGCATTTTTCGAAGAATTTACTTAAAATTGTATTAAAAATAATTGAAATCCTGTGAAGAATTTTATTAATTTATGCGAAAGTAATTGAATTCTTGCAACAAATTTTATCAAAATTTTTTTTTAAATAATTGAAATAATGTAAAAAGAATCTTATGATTTATGAAAATAATTGAATTCTTTTGAGAACTTTTATTAAAATAATAGATTTTGAAAATATTTGAATTTCCACGAAGAATTTCATTATATTCGTGAAATGTAATTAAATTCTTGCAAAAAAATTAAGGAAATAATTCCATTTTTCTAGGATTTTATTTTAAATTGTATTAAAAATAATTGAAATCCTAAGAAAAATTTTATAATTTATGAAAATAATGGAATTCTTATAACGAATTTTATCAAATTTTTTTTTAAATAATTGAATTCATGTGAAAAATTGTATTACTTGTAAAAATAATTGAATTCCTGCAACGAATTTTATTACATTTTATTTAAAAAACTTAATTCTTTTGAGAACATTTATTAAAATAGTAAATTTTGAATATTTTTTAATTTCAGCAAAGAATTTCATTATTTGTGAAATGTAATTTAATTCTTGCAAAAAAATTTTTGATGATAATTTCATTTTTTGAGAAAATGATTTAAAATTGTATTAAAAATAATTGAAACCCTGTGAAGATTTTTATTATTTATGAAAATAATTGAATTCTTGCAACGAATTTTATTATAATTTTTGTAAATAATTAAATTTTTGTTTTTGAAAAATTTTATGGAAATCTAAATTTTTATAAGTTGTTGAATTTTAAAAATGTTTGAATTTTAATGTTTTGAAGATTTTTAATTCCTATGGAAAAATAATATTTAAATACTTATTTGAAAATGAAGTTTTTAAATAAAACGAATAATTCGTTTGCGAATAATTTTACAGTTAAAGAAATTCGTAAGTAAATGTAATAGAATGTTTTTTTGAGTATCTAATAATTTTTAGAGTGAATCAGAATATTCTTTAGGGTCAGGGAAAAAGTCAAAATTTTGTCTGGAAATCAGGGAAAAGTTAGGGAAAAAGAAAATTAACTTTTTGTGGCAACCCTGTAATTATATTTGGATTGAAAAAAATATTTTCTCATTGTAAAAATTAGTAAATTAAAATAAAATATATAAATAATAATAATATTTGCTTTTTGTTAAAATCGGTTGTTGTTGTTGTTGTTATTAATTTTTTTAATAAATAATAATTATATTTTTTTTTAAATTTAAAAAAAAATAATAATAAAAATAAATAATATATTAATATAGTTGATAATAACGATCACACCGAGTCAAGTTATTTATATTATTAAATAAATCTAATATTTTTAAATAAATAAGAAATGAGAGGCTCGCTATTTACTAATTCACATTTAGAGAGTGAGAGTGAACTGTGGAATTTTTGTCGAACGAGTTGTGTTTTTTTTAGAAATAAAATACTTTATTTAGACTTATGTTAGTATTTCGTAAAATACGTTACTATTAAAATAAAAAAAAATACAGTCAACAATTTGGAAATCGAATTAAATTTGATCAAAAGCCAGAACGCGTACTATGCTGTAATCGTCCGTTAGCAAAGTCGATTGTACGTAAGAAAATTGTTTAATTAGATTGAATAATATAATGTTGATTGTTAAATATTAATATTTATTATTCTTTGATATTACAAAATTTTTATATATTTTTTCAATTAATGTCCTTGAAGTTAGCATCGAAAACTATTTTTTAGTTTTAGAGATGAAAATGTCGCTAATTCTTCTTTCATTTATACCTCAAAAGTGAAAAATATGTTCAGTGAAATTTTTTTAACCTAAAAACTTAAAAAAATCCTTTTATTCTTTTTATTTTTGCGAAAAAAAAACTTTTTGCGACTTTGGGAGTCGACGCTAATTTTAGGGGCCGAAAAATTATATTAAATAATTAAAAATATTCGTAAAGTTTTAAAGGAAATTTATTTTCTATTTAAGTATTTTTAAAAATTGTTGTATCAAAATGGAAAACATAATTCAAATTAAATATTTAGTTATAATAAAATATAATAAAATATTAATTTTTTTAATGTTTAAAATCATTTTTAAAATAAAATAGGAATTAAGAGAGGTAGCAAAAATATCGTTGTTCATTTGAACGTTAGTAACTGTAGAAAAGTAATTTAAAAAATAATTGAAAAAAATTGAATTATTGATAAAAATTATTAAATTAAAAGTTATTAATTTTTAGACAATAATTTTTGGTTAGAGCGACTTTCAATATGCAGGCAGCAGGCAATGTTATTGTATCGTTTCGATGACACTAGTCACACACACCACGTGGTTTTTTAACTTTCGGCACTGTTTTTAAAAGCACTTGTTACTGAATGAAGCGTTGCTTGATTTTTATTTTTTTTCCTTTTTTAATGACACTAACTTTATTATCGATATCGGTGATTAAAGACGGACTCGCAACTTTGTAGAATTCTAGGTAGTTTAATACATACCTACTCTGAGAATATACACGGTAGAATGTAATGAGCTGCTCTCTGCTGTTTCGAGATCCACGAGAGAAATGCGCTTTCTCAAGAGATGTTCACGTAATATGTACTAAAGTCCTAGAGCCCAATCTTTTGTCACCCTTCCCACTATTTTTCTGATTTTGATCGAGATTAACGAAGATTTATATCTCTTGTATTAATAAAATGCAATATATCGGAACATTTAGGTCCAGTGCATGTAAAATTTCACACACGCGAACAATGTCTAAATAATGCATTTATCCGTTACATAAAATGAAACTCGGACGGGAATCGTAAACCTTTATTTATTTTCGTTTTGATTTATTTTAACATTTTGTGATTAGGTCAATTTTTAGAATCCTTTGTTTATTGCATATAGACTGAAAGATTTTTTTTTTGATTTTATGAAAGTACTGAACAATTTAGGGAGTACATTTTAGTAAATTTTTGTAAAAATATGTAAAAATTAGTAAAATAAATTTTAAATGTAGCAAAATTTACTTTGGAAATAGTAAAAGTTGACGGAAATAAACAGAAATACTTTTCTACAGTTAAAAATCACCAAAAGGTATTTTTTAACCAAAAATAACTGTAGAAAAGTATTTTAGAATTTAGGAAGTAAATTTTAGTAAATTTTGGTAAAAATTAGTAAAATTTATTTTTAATGTAGCAAAATTTACTTTGGAAATAGTAAAAGTTGACAAAAATGAGCAGAAATACTTTTCTACAGTTAAAAATCACCAAAAGGTATTTTTTAAGAAAAATTTTTAACCAAAAATATCTGTAGAAAAGTATTTTAGAATTTAGGAAGTAAATTTTAGTAAATTTTGGTAAAAATTAGTAAAATTTATTTCGAATGTAGCAAAATTTACTTTGGAAATAGTAAAAGTTGACAAAAATGAGCAGAAATACTTTTCTACAGTTCAAAATCACCAAAAGGTATTTTTTAACCAAAAATAACTGTAGAAAAGTATTTTAGAATTTAGGAAGTAAATTTTAGTAAAAATTAGTAAAATTTACTTTAAACGTATCAAAATTTACTCTGGAAATAGTAAATGTTGACAATAATGCGCAGAAATTCTTTACGGTTATTTTAAATTTTACAAAAGGTTTTTTTAAATTTATTTAGATAGTAAGTTTTAGTAAAAATTATTATCAAAACTTATTTCGAACGAAGCAGAATTTACTCGGAAAACATAGTAAAAGTTGACAGAAATGACTATAAAAAAATAAGCTAAGATTTTACTGACAATTAGTTGTTTTTAACTAATTTTAGATTTAGAAAGTAAAATTTTGTACAAATAAATAAATAAATAATAATTGAATAAAATAAATAATAAATAATAAATAATAAATAATAAATAATAAATAATAAATAATAAATAATAAATAATAAATAATAAATAATAAATAATAAATAAATAAATAAATAAATTTTTTTGTTTAGAAATATTTTTGCCAATAGTGTTTTAAGGAACTTTTATTTTTCGTAGTAAATTAGTGTCAGGAATTTTATTAAATATTTTTCAATATTTTTCGCAATATTGAGAGAATTAATTATTATTAAATAATTATCAATTTTAAATTAATTATTATTAAAGCTATTTCGCGCTGTTTATTAGAGAAAGTGAAGATATTTTAAGACTCATATATCAATGCTCATGCTCAATAGTAATTTTTGTCCAATAAAAATTAATATAAAAGTGAATATTAATTATATTATGCATAGAATCTTTCAAGTACTTTTTATTGCTCCAAATGATTATTGCTTTTCCGTCTGATAAAAGAAATGCCTATGACGATAAAAATAGAAAATAAGTTCATAGCTGCTTTTATTATATGTTTGCGTGTAAAACAAGATACACTTTGGTCTTGTTGATTTGTATAATAAAACGTGTATAATAGGAGTATTACGTGCTTGCGTTTTTTCTATATAAACAGAATATTTTATGTTAAATTTATACACAAAATAAAATGTGCCTAGGAGATATTTATTTTTCTTTATAATTGATTATTTAAAATTATTTTCTGCTGGGAAGTTTACAGACTTTATTAAAAAATCTTAATTGTAATAATAATTTATGTTGATTAATATTTTAATTATATATCAATAAAATATTTTTAAAAAAACTTAAAAATTAAAAACAATATTATTTAAACAATTTTAGTTAAAAATAGTAAAAAATTTGAATTTTAGAGAAGTTACAAATCATTGCAGAAATTCAATTATTTTCAAAAGTAATAAAATTCTTTGTACACATTCCAGGGCTCGAACTAGGTCCGTAAATCCCGTAAAAGTCCGTAACTTTGCTTGAAGTCCGTAAAAGTCCGTTTTTTCGAAAAAAGGTCCGTAAAGTCCGTAATTCGATTGAAAAAGGTCCGTAAAGTACGTAAATTATACGATATAATTTGGATAATTTTAGAGAAATTACAAATGATTGAAGGAATTCAATTATTTTCAAAAGTAATAAAATTCTTTGCAAAAATTCAATTATGTTCAAAAATTTTTAAAAATTCTCGTCAAAATTTCAATTGTCTTTAGAAATAATTAAATTCTTCTCCGAAATATCAATGATTTTCAAAAACTTTAATAAAATTCTTGGAAAAATTTCAATTATTTTTAAAATTTTTCCTCAATTCAATGATTTTTAATAGGTATCTATACTATTATAATAAAATTTTCCAAAAGAATTCAATTATTTAAAAAAAATCTCCTCAAATTCTACACAAACCTTTAATTATTTTCAAAAAAAAAAAAAAAGTTTACAGGAATTTCATTATTTACAAATTTTTTTATAAATTTCTTCGCAATATTCAATTATTTTCATAAATAATAAAATTTGTACAGGCCCGTGTGGAAAAGTGGTGTTGGCCCACGCCGGGGGCCCGCATGGATCGTCCACATCCAGGAGGGGCCCACGTGGGTGATCCAGGCGAGGCCCCTCATGGAAACGACATGCTGATCGATGAGGGCGCCCGCATGGGCGATCCACGCGGGCGCCCTCGTCGGCCCCCTGCGTGGCCCTTGCGTTTGCCCTCATCTTTGCCCTCAACTTACTCTCACCTTTATTTTTCAAAATTAAGTTAATAAATTCATTATTTATTAATAATAAACAAGTTCAATTATTAATAAATAACATTGTTACTTAACGATTTTAACTTTTTTTAATTAAATCGTGACCAAAAAAAAAAAATCTGACGCACGCGGGTATAGAACCTACGACCTACGGACTATCAGACAAACGCTTATCATTCTATCTTTAATTATTATAAAACACGAAGTAATCGATCGCTCCGAGTCGAAGACTCGGAGTTATCGATATCTTCATGTTTTTTAGTTATGAAAAAATCTAATTTATAGTTTTAAGTAAAATGTTCTCTTCAGGGGCGTATCCAAAAAAAAAGCTTCGGGGGGGGGGGGGGTATGGACTTTGATGAGAGGTGTACTCAGAATAAAATTAGAAATTTAGGCTTTAACATATATGTTTTTCCAAAATTTTGGAGGGGGGGTTGAACCCCTAAACCCCCCTCCGGATACGCCCCTGGTTCTCTTATATATTTTTGTCAGTAATTGGTCCGTAATTTTTCATTTTTGGTCCGTAAAGTCCGTATTTTTAAATACTTTCACTGGTTCGAGCCCTGACATTCAATTATTTTCAAAAATTTTTTAAAATTCTAGTAAAAATTTCAATTATCTTAAAAAATAATAACATTATTCTTCAAAGTTCAATTATTTTCAAAACTTTTAATAAAATTCTTGTTAAAATTCTTTCTTTTCAAAAATTCTTCTTAATTTAATAATTTTACATATCCATTTTAATAAAATTCTCCAAAAGAATTTAGATTATTTAAAAATAATTTTAATAAAATTCTACGCAAATATTTAATTATTTTTATATTTAATTAAAATTTCACAGGAATTCAATTATTATTTACAAATTTTTTTTATAAATTTCTTCGCATTAATTCAATTATTTTGATAAAAAATAAAATTCTTTTTAGAAATTCAATTATTTTCAGAAATAATAAAATTCTTAGCAAGAATTCAATTATTTTCATTACAATTTTAACAAAAATTTTACAAGATTCTATTATTTTTTAAAAATTTAATTTAATTCTTTGAACAATTCAATTATTTTCAAAAATTTTGATAGTTTTTATAAGAATTCATTTATTTTCAAAAATTTTTAATAAAATTCATGGGAGGAATTTAATTATTTTCAATACAATTTAACAAAATTTTTGGACAATATTCAATTATTTTTAAACATTTTAATGAAATTTTTCGAAAAATTCAATAATTTATAAAAATTGTAATGAAATTTTTGTCATGAATTTAATTATCATCATAAATAACAAAATTCTTCACAGAAATTCAATTATATTCAAAAATTTGAATACAATTTTTGGGAAAATTCTAGTCAAAATTTCAATTATCTTTATAAATAATAAAATTCTCGTCAAAATTTCAATTATCAATTCAATAAAAATGATAAAATTCTTCTCCAAAATTCAATTATTTTTAAAAATGTTAGTAAAATTCTTGGCAAAATTTTAATTATATTAAAAAATTTTTTTTCTTAATTCAAGGATTTTCAATATCACCTATTTTAATAAAATTCTGCAAATAATTCAATTATTTTCATAAACAATAAAATTCATCGCAGGATTTCAATTATTTTTAATACAATTTTAATTGTATTCCTCGAAATATGAAATTACTCTTAAAATTTTTTACTAAAATTCGTCACAAGAATTTATTTATTTAAAAATTTGTTGATAAAATCCTTTATAAAAATCCAATTTCCAGAAAAATTTAATTATTCAATAAATAATTTATTTTTGTATTTAAATAATTAAAATTCTCGTACAATTTTCTAATAAAAATTGATTTATAAATAAAATTTAGTTAAAATTTTAGATAATAATGGAATATTGTGGCAAAAATTTTCAGATATAATTTATTAATGGTTGCAGAAATTCAATTATTTTCAAAAGTAAAGAAATTGTTCACTGAAATTCAATTATCTTCAAAAATTCTAATAA